TGAATGTTTCTCTTGATTACTCGGTTTAAAAGTTGTCTTGTTGATTAAATACTCCTCTGGCCTGGAAGAAATTGCTTTTAGCGATAAGGCCACCCATTATTTTCTTAGTGTAAATATTTTCTTGTAATTGTTTGTATTTACTATTGTAATCTTTTAAAGGAAACAATAAAGAGTCTCTATTTGTTCCATTGGTTTTCCTACTTCAGAAATCCACGGGTAGAAAGTAGCGGGCAAAAAGTTATCATAGAATTTACTTGTAGTCTAATATAAATGTTATTAAGCGAACGGGAAATGTATAGAAGGAATTGATAGATAGATAGATAGATAATTTATTTGCATTACTTACAACACACAAATTACAATATAAACATACACATAATACACAGTAAAAGAGAATGAAAAACAAAAAAAAAGCATCAAAAAAACAAAAAGCAAAATATATAAAACAACAATTTCCTTTTTTCATGCGTGTGCCATTGTAACAGAAAATGGTCACAACTCAGTTTATAGCTTTGCCCGTTTACTTAAGATTTACCGGTAAAACCTAATATTTACCCGTAAAATCTAACATTTACCGATAAAACTTAAGATTTACCGGTAAAATATAAGATTTATCGGTATAACCTAAAATTTATCGATATAGGGCGTTTTCCTGTAACAGTTACGACACAAAACTATTTAAATTTTACGAAAGTCACTCAGATGTAATAAATCCTACATTAATGATGTATTTTAACGTGGATTAGCATATCATTAAGTGCTGATGTTTAAACGACATGGTCAGTTTTAGCTGGCCATATCATAAGATAGAGACCCTACAGGGTCTACAATGTACTACATCAATTACTAACATCTTTTATAATAAAATTGTAAGAATGCTATAAATAAATTGAATTGAATTGAATGGATTATCATTTCATGAAATGATCAGCCGCATCATGAAGTAATCAATTCTAAGATCTGGCCATAATGTATACTCATACATTGATGCTTTAATTTATGCACATGGCAACAGTTAGAAAAGAAATTAAAATACAAATTAAGAATGTCCTTAATCAGTGTTTATTTTTATGTATTTATTTAAGCTACTTTTAAAAGGAGGTCGATTAAATAAACTGTATAAAATATTCACACAAAAAATTACATTCGATTTTAAAAACTTCTTTTAAAGCTGCAGTCTCCTTTAAACAAAAAAAAAAATCGATCGTATGCAAAAGCAGAATAACATCGTATAACCACACATAATCTAATACTAAATAGCACTACTATATTTATAAATTAATCCAATTTAACGGTTATTTATTTCATATATTTTTTTATAATACATAAATTAGCAAATAACTTCGTCGCTCCACCTGATAGAAAGGGGCAACCGTCGCTTAGGTACATAAACAGCTCATAAACCTCTCTTGCGGTGCCATTCCTGCGTACTACGATGGTTTCCCGCCATTCAATCGAAACAGAAACTCAATATATCATCATAAAATTAGATTAACTTTATTTTCATCTAACGTCTAGTCTAGCACGTTAAATTTATAGTAACATTTAGATTTAGATTACGACAAACCGCTCGTCGCGCCAGTCACCTTGAGTCTTATTCGTATTTTCGCATATTTATTTGCAGCTTTCAAAAGAATCAGTCTTATTGGATATACAAACTGTTATATAAAATTTGTATATCCAATAAGTTACATTCTGTAAGAAAAATCGTTTTATGAATTTCTAAATACAATATTTCTAAAAGTTTTAACTTTAATAATTCAATAATAACAACATGCATAATTAATTATAAATAGTTTCTCAACGAACCACATCAAGGAATTTCTAAAATGGGTCTCTGATTTTTGGATGTGAGGTATTACGAGTAGATATGAAGTTTTAAAAGCATAATATATATACACAGAATAATTTTGTATGAAAAATAAAAATTATTCTCATTAAAAAATCCAATCATTTATACTTATGGGCTGCCTTATTCAATTAGTGTCGTATTTTCACGAATATCGACATCGATAAAATCTTGACAAATACCAAAATGAATATAAATGCTATTAAAATTAATTTATTTTACCATGAAAATAATTAGTAATTACACGATGAACACGAAGGTCGATGATAATAATAATCACAATGAAACAAATACAGGTACTTTATCATTATTAAATTTGTCACGATATTGCAAAGTGCCAAAATAAAACTCCGTTTATTTACACTCTTAGATGATTGTAATTTAACAGTTCTTTGTTTAAAGTTCATAGGATTGTAATAGTGCGGGTGTATTAACCTCGTCTATTTTAGTTGCGGCTGTCAGGGTGCGTCGTACTCTAGGGGATACATGACCTCTACACCAGTCATCGGGGTCAAGGACATGGAAATTGGCGTGGTATGAGCATTGTGAAATCCACTAACGGTCTTTTAGTCATTAGCTAGTTTTGTCTTTTGTCCGCTATCAGTGATTTTTATGATACTCTTTTTTTTATTATAGTTGACAAATATTATGTTTTATTATTTTAATTTAATTAACTAATAAAATAACTACTTATATTGAATGTAAGAGATAGCAAATACAAATATTTGTTAATAAAATAAAAAGTTTTAACTAAAAGCCGTTATCAGGATTGAATAAATTCTGTTTTCGTGTAAGGTACACCTGTCTTCCACGGGCACTATCACATAGCATGGGTTGATATTGTCGCGTCATACAGATAGTGGTGTGACCTTAAGATAATTATCGGTCGACGCCACAGCTCACACGTCTTATCGACAGTTTATCGAAGCAAGGACATCGCAGTGACTATGTGTACTAGTTACAGCGTTAAACTAACAATGTTTTTGTTATCGTTACTGTATTTTTAACATTGTAATTGAGCAATGTCTGGACCTTGTAAGTTGTGTACATGTATACACTACTAGCTTGTTATCAAGGTATATTATTATCAATCAATATAAATAGGTTTTGCTCATTGATTAAAAAATATTAATTTGAAACGTTTAAGATATTCTGTAAAATATTTTAATATATATTTATCAAATCAAATAATTGAATGTCTAATAAACTTGTTAATGGAAAAATTCCACACTTTAAACATAATCCGTGTACTCGCAACAGACAAAGCCACTCGTCTGGCGTATCGTACAAATGACCGCTCGGCCTTGTCTAGGCCACGATGACGCCATCTTGCGTGCGGATGAACTCCTTTTATTGGGACATCAAAATTATATCTGTCTCGTTCTCACATTTAAGTCGTTTACCTCGAAGAAAGAATCAGCAAATTGAGATTGAATCTCAATTGCTCGATTTAAATTTAGAATAAGAAAACGTCATAACACCGTCTCAGGATTGGGTATGTTGGTAATATTTGTATTCCTAGATAGTTTAGAATAATAAAGATTTTGAAATGTATTTATTCACAAAAAAAATTCATAATAATGATGGTGATGATTATTTATAAATTAAATTTTTAAATTAAATTATAAATGTTCTTACAGTCATAAATTTACGTTAAAATAAATTATTATTGTTTAATAATTAAAGAGAATTGATTAAGTATTTACTAATATTTTAGGTTTCGTTTTGTGTATCAATACCTGATAGGTACTGTTTTATCTAGAAAAATTTACAACACGCTTTTATTATTAATTTCCAAAGCTCACCTAATATTTTATAAACATATGAGTGCAATTATTTACAAAAAATGCTGTTTACTTAAACACAAACAAAAGAACTAGTATTTCCAAATAAGCCGCTGCAACAACAACATAAATTAAGGATTGTGTAATTGGCAATTAAATGGTTGCCACGGCAACTGTGCACTCCTCATGGTAGTGATATCTGAGAAATGTCTGGGGGCAAGGGACTCTATTGGACACTAATTGGCCTGGCAGACGATCCCGTCTGATATTTATCCTTTCCTTTTATAAACAATCTCAATGTAACTGTTTCGTAATTTATGATTTATGTTCATATTGCGAATTGTAACCTTCGTATAATAATTGTATGACATTCAACTATTTAATAAAACATGACTATGTTTTATTACTCGTAGTAACAAAAATAATAAAATTCATACTGTATTTTTTTTTTTAAATATACAAAAGAAGTACCTAGTGTATTACTAGGTGCATTACAAATTACAATAGTATGTGTTTCATTTCTAAACAATATTTCCATTAATAAAAAATATTTAGTAACAAATATTAACTCTTATACACTCATCAGATACATTACTGACATTATTATCGTGTAGCTTGGTGGTATTGGGAGCGGCGGACCAGTCCTGCGCGAAAGGCGAAATGCTCGCGGCCGGTCGCCACAACCGGCTCTGTGAAGGCCGCGTATCACCTCCCCCTCTCCTCGATTGACTGTGGTTGTCAGAACAATTTTATCGACAACATATATGATGTGTTTTCTTTAGAATTCGCCGATAATTTCTGTATCAATAAAAATTTACCCTAATGCTTTACAAAAGAATTATAACTGAGTATCTAATTTGCATCTTTGAATATATTAGATAGTATAATATTTATATATTTAAATTCCACGTGTGAACACGTTGAAAACGGCAATTCATTCAGTAAAATGCCTCTGACGCATTACCTACGTTATCGCCGGCGAGCTTCGTCCTCTGCTTTGTAAACAAAATGCCAATGACACGGGGTCGGCACATTCTATCGATAATAATATCGCAGCGCTATCGCCAAGCACTAGTCGGGCTCACAAGGCCGTGGCGCGACGCGTCGCGTATGTGTATTTTATATAAACACAGTTTCGAAACTTCTACAGTTTTTGATTTTAAATTTAATTTTAATAGTTTTTTTTTCATGGCAGGTAAAAGCTTTATATTTGACGTTATTTATAAAATGAAACACTATACAACTGTATTTATATAGTTATTAAATAAAATAAAATAATAAGTACTTACTAAAATTCTAATCATTGAAAAATTGAAATTAATAATTGAAGTTTTAAACTTATTAATTTTTGTTATTTTCTTTCCCAGGTTAACCAAGATGCTGTTATTATCATCGGGACATAATCCTCTGCATCCGAATTTGGCAACAAAACAGATAATCAAATATCTCACCCACAGTCACAGTACATCCAAGCAAGCGAAATTATGTAGTAACCACACCGACAAATCAAGACTGATATTTGATGCCTTAAAAATGAGCAAAGACGCAAGATGATCACTGATGTACGATAAAAATATTTTTCTAAACATTATGCGGAAAAGACAATAGTTTTTGAAGATTTACGATCGATATTTTTGGATGTTATTTTAATAGACAAATGTTGTGTGCATGGTGTTAACGTCCCTAGTGCGTAGTGCGACGACGAGTCGATAGATTGAGTGTCGATATTTTATGGTGATGTGAATTGGTGTCGGTAGCTAATACGATGGCCAGTGAGGGTGAACCGGTAAAGGTGGAGGGGGTCCACGTATCCGTCACCACTATCAGCATGACAGGCCCGGAGACCAGCAATGGTGAGGCAGTTTATTATTATATTTCTTATTATAGATTATCCAATAGAAATAGGTTTTATAATTAATTTGAGAATTCGACACGTTAGGTTCAAATATGCTCTACAAAATTACCATAACAGTAACAGTCGACAAATGCCTCGGACTACATCCATCCAGGTTGAATAAAATAAACTCTTAATTAATTATTTTTTTATAATATTATTTTTGTAACATATAACAATACGGATTTGTTATTTTTTTTTTTCTTTTCATTTAAATATTGACAAAGTTCCGTCAACAACATGATGAGTGTGTAAACAAGATCAATGAAGGAAAAATATTAATGGCAACACTGAGCAGTTATCAATCCTCAGCATTAAAAAAAATATTGTGATAGTGATAGAGTCATTGACCGTCAGAGTTCGAACTTATCCTTTCTGTTATTACGTATAAATATCACATTAAACATCCGATATGATAATAAAATATACATATAATTCGTATTTCGAGACGGCGACGTTGTTATTTTAATATTTTTTTCGTAACTGACAGGATGTTACGCATTAAATGTCTTCGCTCGAGGATCATTTAGAATTAAAAAAATACGAGGTTTGTCCGGAAAGTACGTATAAAAGTTTTTTAAAAATTTTATTTTACAATTATTCAGGTACATCAATTTTATCCCCTTCAAAGTACTCCCTGTGACATAATGCACTTGTGCCAACGCCGTTTCCACTGTGAAAAAGTCCTCTGGTTGTAGGTTTCTCAGCTGTCCCGTCGTAGCTTTTTTTATCTCATTTATGTCCCCCAAATGCCGCCCCCGAAGTACCAATTTGGTTTTGGGAACAAGAAGAAGTCACACGGGGCCAAATCCGGCGAATAGGGGGGTGTTCGGTCACCGTAATGGAATTTTTACTCAAAAACTCACGGACAACAAGAGAGGTGTGGGCAGGGGCATTGTCGTGGTGAAGAATCCAACGCCCCTCTCGCGCCAATTCTGGACGAACTCGTGCCACACGAGCTTTGAGGCGTCTGAGCACATCGACGTAGAATTTTCCATCAACTGTCTGGCCTGGAGGGACGAATTCTTGATGGACAATCCCCCGAACATCGAACTCTTTCTCGGCCCTCTCTGAATCTTTTTAGCCACTTGTGGACGGTTGGTTCCTTCACAGCATCATCCCCATAAACTGTTCTGAGATCGGCAAAAATTTCACGGCCATTCTTGCCGAGTTTCGAGAGAAACTTGATTACGACGCGCTGCTCTTCAACGGAAGCGGGCTCCATGCCGACGGGGTTTCGTTAAGAGGTAACTTCACAGATGGCGTGACAAGCCAGTTCGCACCGCACGGCGGTCAGACCAGAACTGAAGCATTGTTAGGGACATAAGGAAGGGGTCCTGCGCTTACCTGGCCTCCCCACTCCTCTTTCTCGCATTCCAGAACACTTTTATACGAACTTTCCGGACAGACCTCGTATACTAAAAAAAAACTCAAGTTTTACAATACCATACAAGAGTTACACATAAAAGTGTTTGGAATTTAAATTAAGAAAAGTAGAGTTTGCGCGCCAAAAAAGATAGAGGGGCGATTCAGATTTTCTGAAACGGCAAACAAACTGATGGCCCACCTGATAAAAAGTGGTAACGGTAGCCAATAGACATGAAAAGTACCATGGAGATAACAAAGTGTACCTATTACTTTATGCCAAGTTGACTGTAAAAGATTTTCTTTAGCGTTCAAACCACCTTTTGAATTTGCACATTCTGTATCAATATTCTTTGTATACATCTTTTTTGTGCGCATTGTAGACATTTTTATAATTATTATACTGTATCGCCTGTATGATACTCTTCATGCGTTGCCAAAATTATAAAATTACAAAAATAATCGTGAAAATCGGTTTAAATTGGCGATGTTATCATGTAACATAGTCATAATAAAAATACAGTCGAACTGAGAACCGCCGTTATTTTGTACCAGCCTTTACCCACAATTTCGTCCTTTTTTATGGGTGAAAATGACATGGTAACCGCGCCTGCACTGTTGGTATACCTTGTCGGGCTACCAATAAGAGGTTATAGGTGAGGATGAAAAGGCAGGTCAGTTAGTCCATTGTAACAAATTCGACGATAAATTAGTTACGATAATTTCCAGGGGAACCTGCGTGGAGGTTGACCTGATAGAGTTGATATTAACAGCAATGGGATTAACCTCCCCATTACTAACAATTTTTCCGCCTATAACTTCGTCCTTGTCACAGGAATATGTTCACTAAGTAGAACAAAAAGTATCCTATATCCTTCTTTCTCTCATATCGTCATAGTCGTAGAATACAGACGGATCTTTATATGTAATCTTTGTCAGATCCGTCAGTGTTCTACGACTATGACGATATAGTACCTGTATAGCACATTTCATAGTAATTGTTAAACAGTTGCGGTGCCGAGAGATAACAAACAAACAAACTTACTTTCACATTTATAATATTAATAAAGATAACTTAATATAATTAATTAATTTTTCTCTCTGAGTTTGCTGGAAGAGAACTCTTTTAGAGTTAAGCTCGCCTTTGTACATTTACTTACATCTGTCATATTTTTATATACAATCAGTGTGTACAATTAAGTATATATAAATAAATAAATGTAAATAATTATCATAACTTTATGATATCTTTCATTTCAGTTCAATTCTCGTACAGTTCGAGTGGGGTCCGCATCAGTGTGTCTTCAGATCCACACGACGAGGACTCCACTGACGCCGAGGTCTCCAAAATTGACTTCAACCAACACCAGCACGAGGTTTGTAGCATTGAGTACAAATTTTTGGTTTTGCAAGTCTCTATGGAGACTAAGAAAGAGTTTCGGGGTTACCGCGATATCGTTAGATATCGACGGTGGCTTCTAATTTTCTACTAGTATTTAGTTGTTAAAAACCAATATGATATACATACATATTGCATAGGCATTTAACATGATACATACATCATTATTATGTCAACCTTTAACTGTCCACTATCTAACATAGGCCTCCTAATATTGGGGGGCTTTTTTTTATTGGATGAAAATGGAATGGTAACCCCGCCTGCGCTAACGGGATACGCTGGCGGGGCGCCAATAAAGGGTAATCGATTAAAATGAAAACAGGCCAGTTAGCCCATCATGATGAATTAATCTGGAATATATGATAGTTTCCAGGGGGAACCACGAGGAGCTCGACCTGGTTGGGTATATTGCTAGCAATGGGATTCTTAGTCTCCATTACTAACAATCCCTTTCCCCCCAATATTGGGGGCTTTGCCGGTAGTTGCTACGCTCGACAGCCAGATCGGCAGGCTTTAGTAATGTTTTAAGAAGGACGCTAGTGCCCATTCCTCGATTAAGTTTCCTTAATTTGTCTCTTATGATACTCGGGGGAAAGAGATAGCCCATTCTATACCGGGAACACACAGCAAATATTAGACTTTACTATCTTTAAAATACGTCTTGGCTTCCATCTTTGCTAGAGGTTTCGAGGTCTATGTTCAACAGTGGACAGTTAATGATTGATATGATGATGATGATTTTTTGATAAAATCTTCAATACACAATCTTCCAGGTACAATTTTATTATACAAGTATGTATATAGATTTAGATTCATTTACATACGAGCATAGATTACACAATATTAGCTACTTAATGTTTTAATGCTAAATCTACTGGCGCCTGACAGCGAACATAATAATTAGTTATAAAGGTCACGTTTCCTTAGAATCTACCTACTGAGTCATATTTTGATTATTCTATTTATGTTCATGCATCTAACTACCATTTTGTAAATCAACAAAAGACACAACAATGATCACGCGTCTGCGTATTTCTTTTGTGTTAAAAATAAGTTAATAATAATTTATCTATTTGTATAAATAATAATCGTCTTACTACAAAAAAGAAATTAAACACACTGTTATCCTAAAAAGTATTTAATATAACTGTCTAAATTATTAAATGTTGCTTAGTAATGATGTTTCTTTTTGTAATTTCATATGCCAAAATGTACTTATCTCTTCTCTCTATCTACTCTATTATGACATAAATTATTACATTAAATACCTTTTATTTATTTTTTTTTTATATAAGGTTACGCAAGCTTTTTTTTATTATAGTCTGCGCAGACTAAGGAGATTTTTTCGTGAACGAAATTTACTTTTTAGGCTTTCGTCTCTAATAGATTCAGTTATAAAAAGAGACCCTAAAATTGCATTATTATCATCTCGGCCATTATCTGTCCATTGCGGGACATAAGCCTGCCCTATAGACTGCCATAAGGAACGGTCCTGAGCCACCTGATTCACTGATCATCTATTGACTCCCTACAATGCATTAGAGGCCACTTCAGCTTGTTTATCCTTCGGGCTATATCGGTTACTTTGCTTTATTTGCAGATCTCCTCGTTTTTTATTCTGTCACGCAAAGAAACTCCGAGTATAGCACTCTTGCATTGCAAATTGCATGCTACAATATAAAGGGAAATTATATCCACGAAAAAAGGCTCATCCTCATACACCAGTCTTTAACCGCGACTTCGTCCGCGTGATCGGGATATATTTAATTGTTCAAGATAAAAAGTAGCCTAAGTCCTCCATCCGAACATTTATGCTAAATTTCGGGACAAAAATCTTAAATTGGTCTTCAATTCACTTTCTCATTTATAATATTTTACTAGATGTAATTTATCAGTGGGAGATTTTGTATAAAAGTCGTTTGCTTGGGCACCTCTGTCCCATTTGTGTTTCTATCGTGAAGCAGTTATGTTTACATGGCTGTTTTTTGGTTTGAAAGGTAGGATATGGCAATGGCAATTTACAGGGCACAAAAATAACACCTGTGTTTTCAGGAATGGCAACGCATAGGGAGTATCATGGGCGAAACAGTATACTCTATTATGTCCATGGTACTGCTCATGTCTATAGGTGACAATTACCATTTTCCATCAGGCGGGCCGTCAGCTTGTATGCTATTCTAAGTTGCATAAAAAAATCCGTGGCTTCGCCTGCGGGAATCAGTGTATAAAGTATCTTATTTAGGATACTTTATATACTGATGTTTACAGGCAACGGCAACCACTTTCCATCAGGTAAGCCGTCAGCCTGTTTGCCATGCTAAGTTGCATAAAAAAAATCCGTGGCTTCGCCTGCGGGAAACAGTATATAAAATATCTTATTTAGGATACTTTATATACTGATGTTTACAGGCAACGGCTACCACTTTCCATCAGGTGGCCCCTCAGCCTGTATGCCATTCTAAGTTGCATAAAAAAAAATCCGTGGCTTCGCCTGCGGGAATCAGTATATAAAATATCTTATTTAAGATACTTTATTTACTGATGTTTATAGGCAACGGCTACCACTTTCCATCAGGTGGGCCCTCAGCCTGTTTGCCATTCTAAGTTGCATAAAAAAAAATCCGTGGCTTCGCCTGCGGGAATCAGTATATAAAGTATCTTATTTAGGATATTTTATATACTGATGTTTACAGCCAACGGCTACCACTTTCCATCAGGTGGGCCGTCAGCTTGTTTGCCTTTGTAAGTTGTATAAAAAAAAATTACTGGCAATATTCCCTTTATGGGAAAGGCCTATGTTCAGCAGTGGACAGTTAACGGCTGATATATTATGGAAAATGCAAGCAACTAACAAAATTTTAACCAAAACTATTGTCTTTGTATGAGGTTTATTCTATAATAATGGAAATAGGTATCTGCCAAGCATACGTACGCCCATTCGCAGAATATTTTATTTATTTAGGTCACGCACAGTCTTTGTTCTACCTGTTGTTCCGAATTCCCCTCTTTAATTTTGTGGACGATTCGTTCTCATCGACATTCCAGCGTACATTGTGCATTTAAATACGTATTTTAAAATATACTTATCTTTATCGCTCCATACTGTGATCGGTACCCGCCATTTTTTTTATTTACTGGAATGACAAAAAAATTGGCGATTCACCTGATGGAATGTAGTAATCGCTTCCCATATAATTCTACTAATCTTATTATTACTTAGATAACTACTAGTGACCACTCCCCCCCCCCCCCTCCTCCCAGTTCAGCACTGGACAGTTAACAGCTAATACAACATAACATGCACAAAAGAAATTTTATAAACTTACTTTTTTTGAAAAAATATTTATAATTATATTTATTTGCTTTGTAAAAATGTTTATTATTGTATCATGCTTAAATGGCTACTTGCGTACACGCAATACCTACAGGTATATCTTGGATTATAACACGATATCTTGAATACACGATTTTAACATCAGATAGTAAAAAAATCGACTCCAATTGTGGTAAAACCAGTTATTTTAATTTAAAAACTAAACTACGGAACCGATTTTGATAATCTTTCTATAAGATTAATCTTTAAGAATATTCTTTCAGTTAAAAAAAAAAAAAAATTCAAATCAGCATACAACTGATGGAGTTATGAGGTAACAAACATTAAAAAACCTAATTAAGGACCCTCCTTTTTTAAAGTCGGTTGAAAAGTAATTAATATGAATGAATGAAGATTACTTTTATCCTGTGACGTTCACATCACCCTCGTTTTACCACTATACCCTCTTGTGTCAGTTAGAGCACTGCGTTTCTTATCATTCACTTACTTATCATGATATATGGTTACCTATCATGGTACCATGACAAGCAAGAAGTAAAAACTACGATCTACTTATTAATTTTTAGTTAATTGTATTTATAACTAAGTGGCTGTTTCCCACGAAATCGGCCACGCGAATCCGTCGTAATCGAATCCCGTCATTTCCCGTTCCCGTGAGAATTACCAAAAATGGTGGTCGTTATATTGTATATAAATTTTTCCTACCATATTTAAGTCCCGTAAGTAAGTCCGCGCGTAACATGCTTAATAGTCCGATTAAGATATTTGGGTAAGGGAATCATTATGATGTAGATAGAAAGTCTGTCGAGTTAGCCCTTTTTATGTATCTTAGAATTACGAACAAGCTGACGACCTACCAGATAAAAAGTGGATTGCAAATTTAGGTGACGATTTTTCACCTATAGACATGAACCATCCCATGCGTTGCCGTACTAAAGTAGGCGAATTTTATACAAAATCTTACTTGACATAAACAATAGTCAGTATTGAATAAGATATTTAACTTAATAAATATAAATTAATACCTTAATGACTTACTAAGTGCAAAAATCGAATTAATTGTTCGGATTGATACCTGCTGCTGATTTTCACCACCGTACAACCCGCCACAAACTAAAGTTTCATCCCAATCATCTGGACGAGTGGCGATCTTCCATCGTGCGTTTTTCAAGGCACTTTCTCCCACGCACAACCATTCTTTGGAATCAACTTCCAGCAGCAGTATTTCCGAACCGATACGACAACATAACCTTCAAGAAAAGAGTATATTCCTTTTTAAAAGGCCGGCAGCACACCTGCAATGCCGCTAGTGTTGTGGATGATCATGGGCGGCGGTAGTCACTTACCATCAGGTAAGCCGCATGCTCGTTTGCCCCCTGTGTTGTAAAAAAAAAAACAAAAATATAACCAAATGCAGAAGCTCCTTTTTTTGAAGTCTGTTAAAAACTGGTGTATGCTTTGTTTATTTATTTATAGAATCACCAACATAAGATGCAGCGAAACTAATCTAACTTTATATAGACACGACGTCTAGAAGCGGTCTAATTGATTAGTTATACTATTACTATTAATATATTATCAGAGGGAGACTTTGTACAAAATTTGATTGTTTGGGTACCTTTGTCCCATTCGTGTTTCAACCGTGAAGCAATTGTGTTTGCATGACTGTGTTTCGGTTTGAAGGGTGGGATATGGAGTGAATTTACAGGGTACAGAGGAATAACACCTGAGTCCTCAGGAATGGCAACGCATGGGGGGTATCACGGGCGAAACAGTATACTCTGTTATGTCTATATACTGCTCATGTCTATAGGCGACGGTTACCACTTTCCATCAGATGGGCCGTCAGCTTGTTTGCCATTCTAAGTTGTATAAAAAAAAATACTACCTCTAAAATCAATGGGTACTAAGTAGCTGACAAATAATTTGTATTAAATAAGATTTTTTTTTGTTTACAGGTAAACATGCGAAATAAGAAGAAGCGCTCATCAAGCGGCGCGCCGTGCGACAGTCAAAACGAGAGGGAGCGGCCGATGTCGTGGGAGGGGGAGCTGTCCGACTCTGAGATGGTCATCGACACGAGTGTCAACAATGGTTGGTTACATACAGATAGATAGATTGTTTAATGTACTAATTTATAAAATTAGTACATTTATAATTAACCCTTCTTTGCATAATGGTGGAAATTTCCATCATAACATTGAATGGCCAAAAGTTATATAAAAGACCAAGTTCACTTTAAATTGATCGTGTCTGGATACCTTTTTAATGTCCATTGCAAAAAGCAAAACATAGCTGTAATTTTTTTTTAACCTTTGTTCCTTTAATTTTGAACATGATTTATATCACCTCGATTTAGTTCACTAATAAAAAATATTATGCAAAGAAGAGTTAAAGAATGTGACCCACAAAAATAAATTGATTTCAATTATAACAAAACCAGTTATTTTGATTTAGAAACTAAAATACTGAATCGATATTGATAAAATTTTTACTGGACCAAACTATAGTATATCCTTTCAGATAAAAAAAATATTTTTTTTAATCTGTTTAAAACTAATGGAGTTATGAGGTAGCAAACATGAAAAAAAAATACAACCGAATTGAATACCTCTTTCTTTTTTAAGTAGATTAAAAAGAAACAAGAATAAAGAAAAAAAAGTATATTTTGCTTGTAATAAGAGCTGTTCTTAATAGGAACATATTTGAAAAAGTCTTTATTTGAAAGGATACACTTCGAGTTTGCTCCAATAGAAATTTTATCAAATCAGTAGTTTGTACAAAAGTCGATTGCTTGGGTACCTCTGTCCCATTTGTGTTTCAAACGTGAAGCAGTTGTGTTTGCATAGCTGTGTTTCGGTTTGAAGGGTGGGATATGGCGTGAATTTACAGGGTACAGAGGAATAACACTCGAGTCCTCAGAAATGGCAACGGATGGGGGGTATCATGGGCGAAACAGTATGTGTGTGTACTGTTATGTCCATGGTACTGCTCATGTCTATAGGAGACGGTTATCACTTTCCATCAGGTGGACCGTCAGCTAGTTTGCCATTCTAAGTCGTATTAAAAAAAAATCAAAATAACTAATTTTGTCAACATTGAAGTTTTTTTTTTTTTTTATGGAATACAATCTTAAATTATTTTTATTATTTCCGCAGACGACAACAGCAGCTCCCTCGACCTCCAGTCCTCGCGAGACTCGATCGACACGCTTCGCAACGTGACCATCAAGTCGGAGCCCCTCAAGACAGAAGCATTCCAGAGCGTGGACGACCAGAGGGTCCTAGACTTAAAGTACACAGCACCGTTGCAGCCGCATCAAAGAAGTCTTAGTATGAACAGGGTTGGTACAATATAAAATTTATTTAATTATTTCATATAAAATAAGTCTTTTGTTAGTAGTATTTTATTTATTTATTTAAACTTTAATGCACAGTGAAAATATATACATATGGCGGACTTAACACTGACAGTGTTCTCTATCAGTCAACCATTGGGTAAAAATATCACCATATATTTTTTTATGCAACTTAGAATGGCAAACAAGCTGTCGGCCCACCTGATGGAAAGTGGTAACCGTCGCCTATAGACATGAGCAGTATCATGGACATATACCCCCATCCATGCGTTGTCATTCCTGAGGATTCAGGTGTTATTCTTCTGTACCCTGTAAATTCACTGCTATATCCCACCCTTCAATCTGAAAAAATCGAAACAGATATCACCATATTTAAAAATATTATAATATAAACTACTGGTAAAAATCCCTCTTTATGGAGGAAGTCTATGTTCATCAATGATCAGTTAACGGCTGATGTTTGTGATGATTATAAATGTTTGCTACTTTATAGTACCTTAACGGCTTAACCAATTACAATGAAATTTTATATACACGTACTATATGGGATAAATAAGGATACAGGCTACTTTTTTATCGTAGTCAGTAAACATATTCCGGTCACGCGGACGAAGTCGTGGGTAAAACCGTCTTTCAAAAAAAAATTTCATGCTTATTTTTTCTTATTTTTTTTTTATCCGAGCAGTAAGTACTTTAATAATATAGTATATCCTTCGTTCCAATAATACTCTCCAACTATCTTTCCCCTCTCACCGTACTAGTTACGCTTCAAACTCTTTTCTCCTACATTCTTCACGACTCTGGAACGCGCCTCCTGATGCCATTAAGAGACTATCGACTAAACCGTCTTTCAAAAAAAAAAAAACGTTCACGCTCACTTTTTTACTTTATCTGAGCAATAAGTACTTTATATTGTTCTCAATTTCGTATCCAATATATTATATGTCATATATGTGTAAATATATTTATTTATATATATCTATTCGTTTATGTATGTAATTTTAGTATGTATGTTTTTTTTTTTCTTTATACAAAGGTTACATTACAGGGTTTGGTATCTCCTGTTAAGCAAAGATTGCTTGTGTTAGGAGAAAGCGCTCTTTCACAACATAGTATGTATGTATATCGATAAATTACTAGTACCGCATTCGAGTATTCCGACACTTCCCTATGGTTGACTGGGAGAGAATGCTTTTAGCATTAAGTTCGCCATGTACACATATATGTACTAATGAATAAATAAATAAATAAATAAAAGCTAGTATATTGTAACTAGCTGATCCGTCAAATGTTATTTTGTATATACATATATTTATAACGTTAAAATCGGTTGAACCTTTTCGCAAGTAAGCGTGAACTAAAGGGATTATTATATGTTGAAATAAGTAAACATAATTCAAATTTCATTGTATTCTAGATATCGGTTCTCACGGATAACGCGCCCCTTTCGCTTGCAAGACGCCCTTCGTCGCCCACGAGTAGTGCCAAGTCTCTGGTGCTAGACCAAAACAATGTCCCCATAATGCCTCAGACGTCACTCGGCGAGGTTCAGAACTTGACTATCAAAAAGGAGACACAGTTATCAGGTAACATTTTTGGCGGTTTTCCGAAGTATTGTTCTATTTTAATTATTATTCTTTATTATTATTTCATTATTATTTTCATAGAAAGAAGGAAATATATGAAAGAATGTCTTTCATTATGAATCTTGACATTATGAAGTCTGTAGGGATTTTAAAGGGGGTTTCGCGTGAAAATCGACTTGACCCTTTAACCCTTTAAAGGAAAGTATATTGCCAGCAATTTGGCCATCGGTTTTCATTGCTAACAATCTCTTTTTCATGCCAGTGATTATGTAGCGCTTTTTCATTCTCCGCTTATTTAAAAATTAAAAATTTTATATAAGGAGAAAGAGGCCAGTGGAGAATAACTCCGGCACTAAATCGCATTAAAAATATCACACATTTTTTTTATACAACTTAGAATGGCAAACAAGCTGACGGCCCACCTGATGGAAAGTGGTAACCGTCGCCTATAGACATGAGCAGTACCATGGACATAACAGAGTATACTGTTTCGCCAACGATACCCCCATGCGTTGCCATTCCTGAGGACTCAGGTGTTATTCCTCCGTACCCAGTAAATTCACGCCATATCCCACCCTTCAAACCGAAACACAGCCATGCAAACACAACTGCTTTACGGTTAACACGAATGGGACAGAGGTACCCAAGCAATCGACTTTTGTACAAATATTTTGTACAAATCACATAAATTAATGTATATGAAAACTTTTTATAATACATCAAAATATCAAATAGTCCTTTAGTAGGAGATACATCGAATTCTTTTGATTTCAAGTACTAAATGTTGTTGTACGTAAACTCTGCCCTGGATAGACACGTAAGAAAGTTAAATTTTATATTTCAGAGTTAAAATGCGAGCCGTCAGTCGGCATGGACAAGCTGTTGGGCGCGTTACACGGCTCCCCACTGCTGGGCCGGCTGCCGCGTGTGCAGTCCAGTGCCAGCACGGATTCCGCCGTCCACTCCATGTATACGCATAGGTATGTTCAACTATGTTTTTTTACGAAGATTATTAGTATTTGGTTGACGGTGGCACTGATGATGCACTCGTCCATGACAATGGTATACAATGGCGAGATATCAATGAAGGGTGGAACGATAAGGACGTTTTTTTTAATGGATGATAATTTATTTATTTATTATTTATAATGGGCTAATAACTTTGCCTGCGTTAATATATATACGCTGGCAGGCTACCATGACGGATAATAGGTGATGATGAAAGGGCATATTGGATTTCCTGGGGGACCACGAACAGGTCGACCTGACAGAGTATATGGCTATCAATGGGACTGGTAGTTTGCATTACTAACAATCCCTTCACCTTGAACGATAAGGATTAAGTTGGGTTAGTTGACCCATCATGGTGAATACAGGAAAGTTGTATATTATTAATATAATTATAACTTTCTTATATTATATTATATTATATAAACCTATGGTCCTTTACCTCTGCTTATGACGTTGGTTACAATTACAGTCGTGAGTATATTTACCTCTTACATTATATAGATAGAGCCTCGAGTCTTAAAAACGGGTTAACTTTTTGTCAGCTAATTGTCAAATTAGCTGACTCGATAATTTTTTATGTGTTCTATATACTAACGCACACAATGTATCTTGACGTTTTATTTAATAAATCAAAATGAGTATTTACGCATTAAAAAGATGCAGAAATTATAAGACTAAATAAATATAGAAGTTATAAAGGTATCACTTATTTATCACACCAAATTGTATGAAAATATTGACTTCCTTACCATGAAGTATTTGTATGGAGACACTATCTATATAATCTAAGATTTGCCTATTTATTTATTTATGTTCGCTTGCAGCGTATACAGCAGCCCATCGGCGAGTCCGCGCGCGTCGCGTCACTACACACCGTCACTGTCGCGTAACAACAGCGACGCGTCTCACTCCTCCTGTTACTCATACAGTTCTGAGTTCTCGCCCACGCATTCCCCTGTACAGGTAAAGATATACTTACCCCTCCTTATTAAAAAAAAAAAAAACATTCTACAAATTTATTTTTATCTATTACACTGTTTTGTCACTTTCTTTCAAATAGAATTTTTATCACAAAATAAAGAGACAAAACAGTTCAATAGCTAAAATAGGTTGCGTTGGTTATAAGACGTTTGACGTCTCATAAAGTTATTTTAGCTATTGAAAACTAATTAATCGATTTTAAAAATACTATCATCTATAGAAAGCTAGCCGTGTGGTCCCAGCATAGAAACACAGCCCAAGGCCACCCCTTCCTATCCTGTGGGGGTCGTAAGAGCCGACTAAGGGAGGGTGAGGGATGGGCAGCAGCGTCCCTCTTAAAACATCTCTAAAGCCTGACTGCGGTTACCAATTCGCTTGCCAAGCATGGTCAAATCCCTCAAGAGGGAGACATGTTAAGCAGTGGACAGTTAAAGGCAGATATGATAATAGAAAGCTAAATTATCGGCGAGTAACATAGGCTATATTTTGTTTAAAAAAAAAAAAAACTAAAGATTGTTATGAAAATTACAATAAATAACTCAAGCTATCAAAAATTACCTATTAAAAGTATTATAAAATACTAATTTATCTTTTTATCTATTTACCCATACAAAGCAGGGGCGGATCACTAGTTATACCATAAAATAATTACGCAGGGTCGGCATCCGCACGTGGTGTACCGTGAGGCGGCTGCGGCGGCGGCGGCAGGCCCGTTTCCTGCGTCGCCGGCGCACGATGAAGACGCCGACACCACTGAGGACCGGCTGCATCATCACCAGGGCATCAGTCGGCAGCAACTTATTAACAGGTCAGTTTTAAATTTCGTATGCAAACATACAATATGATATAAGTAATACACATGTGTTAGACACTTTGTTTTGTCTGATGCTGGTGTTTCCCTCGTATCTGAGTATTATTTATTACATCCGCTATTGTTTATTACAGTGAAAGCTCTATATAAGCAACCTCTCTATAAGCAACATTTCAAATTAATTATATTTTTTGTTCTTTCTGTCGATGGTCGAATGGTAGATAACACCATACAGTGTTAAGTTCGCCATTTACACTTTTTTATTTATTATATTGTATAATATAAGAAAGTTATAATTGTATTAATAATATAAAATTTTTCCTATATTATACTTTATTAAACTTTAGTTTAATAAATAAATAAAATAAAAAATAGAATAAAGAATGTCAGTATTCGTTCTCCTAGGTATTTAAAAGAAAATTTATCAGGGGTCTTAAAACAAAAGAAGTTAGTAAAATAATTTTTAAAATGTCGATTTTAATAATATTTCTACGGAGCCAATCTGTAACTTTACCCATCAGATAAAAAAAAATGGTTTTCCAAATCGGTGTAGAACTGACGCAGTTATAAGTTAATAAATATAAAAAAAAATAATTATTGTTTAAAATGATTTTTTTTACTTTTTATTTCACCATTAAAAACAAAAGAGTCTTTTTAAATAACTAATTAAATTTGTTTGGTTTCATAAAAAAAACCACAAACTCCTTATTTTTGAAGTCGATTGAAAACAATACCCATTGAATTTTTAGACGAGTCAGAATTCTAAAGTAAATACCGTTACACAGCCCCTGTCCGATCTGCGGGGACAAGATCAGCGGCTTCCACTACGGCATATTCTCGTGCGAGTCGTGCAAGGGTTTCTTCAAGCGGACCGTGCAGAACCGCAAGAACTACATGTGCCTCCGAGGTGGCAACTGTCCAGTCACTGTCGCCACCAGGAAGAAGTGCCCCGCCTGCAGGTTCGACAAGTGCCTCGGCTGTGGTATGAAGCTTGAAGGTAAATGTTATTTTTTATATTTACTTATTATGTCCTTACATTTAGTCGTGTAGTCCCGGCATAGAATAGGCTACTCCTTTTTTTTATGCAACTTAAAATGGCAAACACGTTGTCGGCCTAGAAGTAACCTTATGAATGAATGAATGAATTTTAATTACTAAATCCTGTAGTCTAATGACGCCTACAACACTAGGGCTGTCACGTGAAGCACGTTGCCGGCCCAAAAGTAACCTTATGAATGAATGAATGAATTTTAATTACTAAATCCTGTAGTCTAAAGACGCCTACAACACTATAGGTGTTACGTGCAGCACGTTGTCGGCCCAAAAGTAACCTTATGAATGAATGAATGAATTTTAATTACTAAATCCTGTAGTCTAATGCCGCCTACAACACTAGGGCTGTCACGTGAAGCTTGTTGCCGGTCCAGAAGTAACCATATGAATAATTGAATGAATTTTAATTACTAAATCTTTTATTTATATCAAGGTATGATATACCCTTTTTAAAAAACTCTATACTGTATTCTCTAGTGTGTACATGTGTATTTATTTATTGAATTACCGAACAGCGATCCGCGAGGACCGGACTCGAGGTGGTCGCTCGACATACCAGTGCTCGTACTCGCTGTCGGGCGCCTCGTCCACCGGCTCGCTGCTCTCTGCGCACGTACCTACCACGCTGCGGCACGCGTCCAGCCTCACTTGTGTACGTACAGTTCGCTAAATTTTCGTTCCAAGAATGATGTTTTTCTTGCACATTTTAACAGCAATGGCAAAACTGAATTGATTTTTAATAAAATTTCTATGGGATTGGTCAGAAAGTATGTCGTTTCGGATAAAAAATATCCAAATCTGTATATATTTAGAGATGGATGCAGTTATGAGGTAACAAACATAAAAAATATATTACCGCATTGAGAACCTCTACCTTTTTTTGAAGTCGGTTGAAAAGTGACATTATCAACATGGCTAATGTTTATGTAAAACCCAACCCCCTTTATTCATTAAAACATCAAACCTGTTATAGACCTATTTTAGCTATTCATATGTTATTATAATTATTCATTCTGAAAGAAAGAAGAGAGAAAGAAATATTTTTATTTAAATAAACTTAGATTTAAGCATTTTTGAGTAGTGATTTATTCTTCTTTACCGCCCATACAGAACGCAATTTCAGCCAAGAAAAACGGGCAAAAATTACTCAGTTGTTGCTTATTTCAAAAAGTTTAATTATATACATATATATAATTAATTTATGTCTATGTTAACTACTAAAGACAAGGGGGAAGGGATTATTAGTAATGCGAACTATCAATCCCATTGTTAGCAATATACCCTGTCATATTGACCTCTATGTGGTTCCCACTGGAAACCAGCATATTGAATTCCAGGTGTATTCCTCACGATGGGCTAGCTGACCTGCCTTTTCGAGGGAAAAGGGATTGTTAGTAATGAGATTTAACAACCTCATTGTTAGCAATACACCTTATCAGGTCGATCTCCACGTGATTCTCCCTGGAAACCATAGTGGTTAATTCTTGTTCAACTGATCGCTATGGGCCAACTGACTTGCCATCATCCTCGGGGTGACATCCTTCACTGGTTCCTCGTCAGCGTATACCGATAGCGCTGGCGGGGTTACCATTCCATCTTTACCTATAAAAAAAGTCCTGCCTTTTCTTGTCACCTATCATCCTTTACTGGTGGCCCGCCATCGTATACCGTTAGCGTAGGCGGGAATACCATTCCATTATCATCCATTAAAAAAAAAATACTACTAAAGATAGTGACAAAACACTTAAATAGTTAAAAAAAGTTTATAGCATGTTTTAAATTTTAACAATAAGGGGGTAAATGTATATTTTTTCTTGTAGGTAAATGGCCCAGCATCATACAGTAACAGTAGAGGGGAATCGAGTAATAGTCGACTAACGCCTGACATACCACCATTATTGCAGGTAAGATTATTTATTTATTTATTTTTAAGGAACATCAACAGTGTAAATACAGACATTAATATTAATCGATATACAGGGCTTGCATCTTGCATTTACACCAATTACAGATGTACACAACATTTTTAATAAGTATAAGGAGAGTTGATTATAGATAATCAACTCTTCTTATACGATAATGGTATAATATATTATAAACTATACGGCCCGCTAGATGGTAAACAGCTGGAGCGGTTCTGAAGCACCAATTCTTTAAACAAATTTTTTAACCTAATATTTTAATTTGATAATTTCGCGAAATTACTAAACCGTGTGGTCCTGGCAAAGAATGGACCACTACTTCTTTCCCGTGGGTGTCGTAAGAGGCGATTAAGGAGGAACTTAATGGTCGAGGGTTATAGACGACGGTTACTACTTTCCATCAGGTGGGCCGTCAGCTTGTTTACCATTCTAAGTTTCATAAAAAAAAACATGGCTTATGGCGTCCCATTGGACCACGTTCTTGTTAACAACAATATTTATCTTATGTATGTTATTCAGGAAATAATGGAGGTAGAACACCTATGGCAGTACAACGAGTCGGAATTGAATCGACTAAGCAAGTCGCCCGGCAGTCCGTCGGCCAACCCGCTGCTCGCCGCGAGCGGCATCACCGCGCAAAACTCCAGCCCCGACTTCCTCGCCGACCTGTGCAGCATCGCCGACCACCGACTCTACAAGATCGTCAAGTGGTGCAAGAGTTTACCACTATTCAAGAACATCTCCGTAAGTGTGGCCATCTAAAAATATTGTTTTACTTTTATTTATTTTATTTTTTTATACAACTTAGAATGGCAAACAAGCTGACGGCCCACCTGATGGAAAGTGGTAACCGTCGCCTATAGACATGAGCAGTACCATGGACATAACAGAGTATACTGTTTCGCCCATGATACCCCCCCCCCATGCGTTGCCATTCCTGAGGACTCAGGTGTTATTCCTCTGTACCCAGTAAATTCACGCCATATCCCACCCTTCAAACCGAAACACAGTCATGCAAACACAACTGCTTCTTAAAGTATTTTTATGGAGAAATTCTATCTATATAATCTAAGTTAAAATGTCGAAGCGAAGATTTGCTGTTTATAATGCATGTTGTGGTGTGCAGATCGACGATCAGATCTGCCTGCTGATCAACAGCTGGTGCGAGTTATTGGTACTGTCGTGCTGCTACCGCGGCGTGGGCACGCCGGGCGAGGTGCGCGTCGGCGGCGGACGCGGCATCACGTTGCCGCAGAGTGCCAAGTTTGTACATAACATGCTAATATACTTAATACAGTGGTACCTCGATATACGAGTGCCCTAATATGCAAGTGTTTTGAGATACAAGCCGCCTAACAAGCGATATTACCTCTTTCAAGAAAAGTTTAAAATCACATTTTTTTTCCTTGAGTTATAATTTTTTATTTTTCTAATCGAACTGTCAAATCTTAAAATCATTAAACTAAATTTCTAATTTAAGTACAGGGTGGCCCAAAAGTCCTTAGAAAAGTAAAATTTGAATTAAACGAAAACGGCGCGCGTGAGCGGTGCAGGGGAAGCGGGGGCAGTAACTTCGGTTTCTGGGAATTTAGTCGCGATGGAGCGTTTCACCGGAGCGGACCGTGCGTTTTGTGTGCGCGAGTTTTATCAAAACAACAATTCGGCAACCGTTGCGAGGCGTAAATTTCGAGAACACAAAGGTTTACACAACTTTGATGACACCCCAGCCCTCCAAACGATTAAGAATTGGGTTGCTAAGTTCGAGGAGACCGGTTCGACGTTAGATAAACCGCGGTTGGGTCGCCCAAGGACATCACGTACGGAACAAAACATCGACACAGTGGCACAATCTATTCGTGAAAATCCTACACAGTCAACTCGTAAGCGTTCTAGTGCATTAAACGTATCCAGGACATCGTTACAACGGATTTTGAAGAAAGATTTACTTATGCACCCTTACAAAATCCAGTTGGTGCAAGAATTAAAAGAAACTGATGCTATTCAGAGAGTGAATTATGCTAATGAAATGTTTAATCGGTTTACTTCGTTCAATAACATAATGTTCTCTGATGAGGCACACTTCCACATTAACGGACATGTTAGTAAACAAAATTGCCGCTATTGGAGCCCGATTAATCCAAAACTTACGCACCAGAAGCCCTTACATAGCCCTAAAGTTACAGTTTGGGCCGCTATGTCAGCCCATGGCATCATAGGGCCTTACTTTTTTGAGGACGGCAGAGGGCGTGCTGTTACTGTTACTTCGGAGCGATATGTGGCCATGATCGAGGAGTTTTTCACACAAAAATTGCAAAACTTTCCAGGCTTTAATGCCCGAACATGGTTTCAACAGGATGGAGCAACTTCCCACACCTTCAATACTGCTATGCCCGTTATCCGTCAACTTTTTCCAAACAAAGTTATCTCTAAGAGAGGAGACATTTCCTGGCCACCACGTAGCCCGGATCTGACTCCAATGGATTTTTTTTTGTGGGGCTACCTTAAGGCTAAAGTGTACGACTCTAACCCGCGGTCAATTAATGACCTAAAAGAAAACATCCGCAGAGAAATGGCCAGCATTTCAGCAGTGACGTGCCGCGCAGTCATCGACAATTTCAGAAGGCGTTTGCAAGAGTGCCGTGACTGTAACGGATTACATTTGGACGACGTTATTTACAAAAAATAATTCCCGTGTTTCTAGCCATATTTACAAAAAAATATTTTATTCATAGTGTAATTAGTTTTATTTTAATTAATTTTTTTCATTACTAAGGACTTATATACCCTGTAGTATATTCATTTATTTTAATATTTATTATATAATTAGGTAGCTATTATATTTATTTATACTGAATGTATTTACGTAATATTTTATTGTATATTTTAATATTTTATTTAACTGTATATTTGTTTATGTATTAATAGTTGTAGCACTTCAATTGGCCGCTAATGACATGCTTTCTCATTGTATTGGGTTGACTGGAAGAGATCTCTGTCATAGATAAGTCCACCCTTGCTCACAACATTTATAAATGCATTATTTTAAATGTAACTTACAAGTGCAATAAAGAATATATATTTTGCTTTGAAATGAGAACTAGATTTGAGATACGAGGGATCGCACACAGCATCGCTATACACAATACCAACATGCGGGGCGTATGTTGATGTCTAACAGTTTCTCCCACCTCAGATTAACACTTAAGAAAAACAACTGGGGTGGTTTTTTTAAGAGTATGGTTTAATGGCATTTCAATTAATTTCATTGGGGAAAATTGCTTTGCCATACGAGCAAAGTTAAGGAACGAATTAATCTCGTATGTCGAGGTATCACTGTATATGAATTGTTAGTAATAGTATTTAATTGAAATTAGTGCTCTAATAAGCTACAGCCGAGTTTCTCGCCAAATGTACTCAGCTGAAATCGTGTTCCGAATTAGCGGTATAATATACGTAGAAATTATCCACACCAATACAAATAAACACATGAACCTGTATGTTTGTTTGTGGTGTATGGGGATCGAAACCACAATTGAAAAGTCGAGGTTGATGTGAAACCATTACACCGCGAAACAGTAGCGGAATAAGTCCGTCATAGGTCTGAAGCAACAAAGCTGAATATGACCTCCAATTTTAAAAGTTGATGTAATTTTATAAGCTTTTTATTCAGTTCACATATGATTATATAAGTGTTTATATTTATTTACATAAAATCTTGTAAGTTAAATTTAAATTAAATAAACATACATAGAATATGGGTATGAATGAATAAAATCGAGGTGTTTGGAGGCCTTTTAGGACTAGAGGCCTGGTGTGGGACGCCCCTACCGACTTCCATTTCTTAAATGGATAACAATAGAATATTAATCCGCTCACGCTAGGTATATGCCGGTGAGGCAGTAGTGAAGAATGATAGGTGAGAATGAAAAGACAGGTTAGTTAAGCCATCGTGAAAAATGTGCCTGGAATTTGGGACATTGGATTCCAAGAGGGAACGCGGGAAGGTCGACTTGATAGGATATATTGCTAGGAATATATCCTATCAGGTCCCCCCTCCAACCTCTCGTTAGTTCGCCACTGCCACGAAGCTTATGTCGTATTTTAGTATATATATATATATATATATATATATATATATATATATATATATATATATATATATATATATATATATATATATATATATATATATATATATATATATATATATATTTTATACAACTTAGAATGGCAAACAAGCTGACGGGCCACCTGATTGAAAGTGGTAACCGTCCCCTAGACATGAGCAGTACCATAGTATTATATTCTTTCGCTCATGATATCCCCTATGCGTTGCCATTCCTGAGGATTCAGGTGTTATTCCTCTGTACTCTGTAAATTCACGCCAATTGTTAATAATTACTTGCAGATTGGGCCTCACGCCTTGTATAGAAAGAATGCTCAGTTTCACCGACCACTTGAGACGACTGCGAGTGGACCGATACGAATATGTCGCCTTGAAAGTTATCGTACTACTCACTTCAGGTAATATAACATCTATAACGTATAAAATATATATAAGTGAGCGTATTGAAAGCTCATCCAGCTGATGTAATAAATAAATAAATAATATATCACAAATAATACGAATATAAGGATAAGTCCGCCGTAGTATATTAAATCTTTTAACGTATCCAATATAAATTATGTACAATAAATATTTTACAATACAATACAATATTTTATGCAAAGATCTCGCTACTGACTCCTACAGGTCCTGTGGGCTCTTAAATGATTTTTTCTTTGTAGAGAACATGAGCGAAAATGTAATGCAATGCCGCTTGCATGCAATGCAAATGCTTAGTGAGCTGTTTTGTATAAATTTTATTAATATATTCATTATTGGACTGATATATAGATATTATAACTAAAATATATAGATATTGCTATATATTAATCAGCCTTTTCGTAAATGCTGGCAATCCTTACTTGCGGTTGTTTTAATAAAGTTAATCGTTTGTACTTAAAAAAAATCAAAAACAAAACTCCTATTAAAATTAACAGATGCGCCAGAATTACGCGAAGCGGAGAAAGTGCGAGCGTCACAGGAAAAAGCGTTGGCAGCGCTGCAGGCGTACACGGCGACACACTCGCCCGACACGCCCGCCAAGTTCGGCGAGCTGCTGCTGCGCATACCGGAGCTGCAGCGGACCTGCCAGGTGCGGATACACCTTTGTACTATATCTAGGTGAAAGAAACGAGCGTCGAATATACGAGAAAAAAAAGTTGACGGAAAAAATGGCGGGAACGGTAAACATTTAGTTTTAACTGAAGAGCTGTAGTTTGAGTGTATTTAAATATGCGATGGGATAATGCGTAATTGTTTGGTATGATTGTGGTGTGTTTTGAATATTACTTGTAGAGAAATAATCATTTTCGAGTTACGAACCTCTTGTACATACATGACGCTGGCAGAAATAGTTGTAAAAATGGCGTTCTAATGCCACTGACGATAGAGAAGAAGAAACGAACGTCACAGTTAAGTTCGCCGAGTTGCTACTACACATACCAAAGCTTTGGATCATGAAGTGTCGGGAAAAATAGCCTGTATTTCTTTTTAAATTGAACCATAATTCCGACTTTGCCACACATCAATGAGAACGCTTTTAACAGTAACTTTTTTGTTTGCAGTTTTTCATGCAAGTTGGCAAGGAGATGCTCAACCCAGCGAACAAAAACAAAGACGGCGATGGACCAAGCTTCAATCTGCTCATGGAGCTGTTGAGAGGGGATCATTGACCTTGATTCTCTTCACTCCGGGTCTCCCAGGATTTAAGATTAGTATAAACATCGTAAACATTGCTCAAGACTCAAGATAAAATCTAGTTTTTTAAACATAAACTCTATTTCGCTAATCATAGAGTCGAAAATGCTAGGACTAGACTTATGTATGACAATTAATAAACAACAAACAGATATAATAATAAGAAATTATTAAAAAAAAAATGCTCAATTTAATAACAGTAATAATCTGCCATATTTTTGTGATGTTCATATTCATCACAATTTTTATATGACCGTTTATTAGGTAACATTCAAATATCATCTACATATTCTATATTATGTTCTATACTTCATCTATGACTCGGAATTTAACCTCAATTAACCAATATATGCGAAATATTTATTATTGCCAGTTATTCGTTTCTTTCATAAACTTTTTGTTTCTATTATCTTTCTTTTACAAACTTTTCATGATTTTTTTTATCTATGTAAACTTTCTTTCTCAAACTTAATTGCATAAACTGTCATTTGTTTTTTATAAACTTTCTCCCACAAACGTTAATTTCATAAACTCTTCTTGTTTTTATTTCAATTCATTTTTAAAGGAATAATCAGAAAAGTTGATATTAGAAATAAAACATCTAGTTATATCTATGTATAAAACTTTATATATTAAAAAATTTCGGAACAATTTCAAAATAATTATATAAATTAATCTTATAGATAATAAAATCTTTTTATAAGTACTTATATTAAATGGTTCCCTTGCCTTTCCAAGTGATAACGTATTTATGGCCTTGTAATAAAAAAAAAAGACTGTACGAAAAGTCATTATCGTGGAGTTAAAAATCACATCGCTTCATTCATCATTATGATTAATATAATTGTGCCAACATAATCTGTTATACTTATTCAAAATGCATTTATTTTATGATACAATTTACATCACTAGACGTATTTTTATAAATTAATTTACAATATTATTTGTGTTTTAATATTCAATAATTAAAGGATTACTTTATATTGACATGTAGAACCATCTTCAAATTGTTTGATTTGTCAGAGGTTTGCCTTTGAAAGATAAGAGAAAAAATTAAAAAAATATGAAAATAATTCCATACAATTGAAGCACTAAACAACAAATTATAACTACAGAACAGCTATTTTTGAAATTCTTTATTTTATTTTCTTATATACTTATTTCAAAAATATTTATGTTTATTTTATAATTATAAATGTATACAATAACTCTGCAATTTCTCAGTATATCCAAGATAGGTGACGTATAACGTTATTTTAAAAATGGAATCGCTGATTTATTGAAGTTTTAACTTTACATAAGCATCTTTCTTTTTTTTTTTTCTACATAAAACGGCAATTTCATAGATAAGGTTATACCTAATAGTTCATAAAATTATTGTTAATTTATTATCATATGAGGTATTTTATTAAAAAATGCAGTATTTTATATCAAGAACTAAAATATAGTTAATAGAAACTCTTACCTTTCAAAGCTAATAAATTTCAATTAATTAATTACTATTGGACATAATGGCGTTTTAAATGTTATCATTGCAAATTTTGCGTTCCGTTTTAGGCAAAAGTTCTTTATGGCAAACCGATAAATAGTATCTAAACAATTACCACGAATTAATTAACAATTTGGTTTTAACACTACATTGCAAGCGTTATTCTTTTTTGATTTATTTTTATTATAAAAAAGTATTATCTATTAATAATGAATACTCAGCTCCTGTAAATAATGTTTAGTGCATAATCCAAAAATTTGTCAAAATATTAAAAAAAAAAAGCTCGAGTAATGAAAGCGGCTGAAGAATCACACTGGCGACTTGGTTTTGTATTACGTATTATATTTAAAAATCTTTTTTTTTTTTATTATTTGTAGAAATGCGTCTATGTGACTAATAATCGTCTATAAGCATTTAATTAACTTCCACTGCCACGCTATGCTTTTAATTTATAGTGTTTTTTGTAAGGCTCTGGGAACAATGGATAGAGTAATGAATGTGTATTATTCTGAATATTTATGGCATTGATTTTTTTATAGCAAACTCTATAGTGCTTAAAACGTTAAATGTTTAATATAATGTAGAGATATCTTGCCTTTTAAATTTTTAAATCATTAAAAAATACTCGGTAGCTTTTTATTGTGATGTTATACAGACTTTAAAATTATGTACGAACGATATGTCGGACCAATCTTGTCCGAAATGCTATCAATATGCCAATTTCATCAGTAGGATTTTTACATTAGTAAATGATTTTATTTTGTCAGTGTGTAAATGAATAGAATACTAGATCCTAATAAATAAGAGAACTTGTTTTCCGTTGTTATAAAAACTCATTTATCTATATTAGCCATTAACTATCCACTGTTAAATATAGGCCTTTTCCGCTTTAGTAGTATTATAAGAGGAACGCTACTGCCCATTCCTCGACCATTAAGTTCTCTTAGTCGCCTCTTACGACGCCCACGAGAAAGAAAGGTGTGGGGCCCTTTCTATACTGGGACCACTACGTTACGTTAAAAATTATTCATAAAAACGCTTGTCTTGACTAGTTCGATATCTGATCATAGACTAGAAATTAGTATTCGTAATTGGCATATATTAACATAGCTAATGATTATATTCATTATTTTTTAAATTATATATTAAATTAAAAAAAAATCCACCTGATCTGGGGAATTTTATTCAAATTACTTGCAACAATGAAAAATGTTATGTTTTTTTAATTACTCGGCACTATTTGACCGATCGTGCTTGTAACATTTTTTGAAATTACGCACCTAATCCAGAAATGTATTATATGGTCTACAGGTCCTACCGATGAGTTGCTAAATAATGTTGTTCGTACATAGTTTTAGAGGATCACTACGATTCTTTTAAGCGTTGGTTCAGTCTGTGATACTGAATCATATCAAGGTTAGATATACTTATTCTAAAACGTGATAACATAATCCTTAACATATTTGTATTTCACTTTTAGATAAAGAAGATATAATTCAATATCTTTGGTATCACCCTTTACCGTGCTTATACGTATGTGTGTATATATATATATAATATTTTTATTATTTATTTAACACTTAATTACACCAATATTACAGTACTTGTCGATAAGTATTGTGTAGTATAAAAGGCGGTCTTATTGCTAAGCAATCTCTTCCTTTTTTAGTAAATGCATACACACAATTATAATTTCTGTTATCTCTACACACCACAGATTATATAAATATTATAAATTTGCTATAATATAACTGAATATAACTAAACCCAACGGGCTTGCATGGTCGGGTATTTTTTGAAAGAGTTTACATATTGAATAAGTAATATTTTAACGTCCGATTTACCTCAAAATATTCACATCTTTATTCTTTATTCAGCATTATTATGTATAAAATTAATTTCTTCTTAATATTTCGTTGTAAAGCTGTATTATGCATTTAATAAATAAAATATTTTTGTACGATTTAAACCTATTCTTTGTGTAAAGTTTAAGTACTTAATTATTAGAAGACTTCCGTTCTAGAAAATGCAATGCCTCCTATTTATATATACCTAGCAATGAACAATCTCTAATACATTTATAATTCTTAATTCCGTATTACGATAGATTAATTATAACAACAATAGAGAATCAAAACGCAAATATTGCGACGGTGAGGTGGCGCCACTTGTACAACTTAAGGATTTAAATTAATATTTTTTTATAAATAATAAGTTCGAGACAAGGATCTGTCATGTAAAGCCCAGTAGATGTACGCCCGCTAAAAAAGATTCCCATTTGCATGTATATAGACAAAGAAAGACTTTAAAGTCGTAATGGCGGGAAAATAATGTTTTTATTTCTTTTTCCATTTATCACAATGGCGCCACCACCGGGATATTTTTTTTAAATCACTATCCTATGCATGTAAAAAGAAAAAAGTAATACAGGTTTATTTTAAATCGATAACAATGTCTAATTAACACATTGTTATCGATGATAATTATAATAATTTATATTTGTTTTTCACATTTTTTTTATGAAAAAGTAATATTGAAACCGCTATTAATAATGTTATACATATATGTACTTATAATATTTAAATGATGTAAATTCTATATTTTCAAATTAAATTGTACTTTAAATTTCGTTCCAATATGCTGTGAAGAAATTACATACTACAAGTATGTATTTTTTTCATACTATAAATTCTTCGTAATGTATTTCTTTTAAAGTTAAGCCTTTTATTTTGATAAAATTGAACTATATTTTAAACAGCCACATCTTAAAATAATCTAGTAAAATATTTGTAATGCGCAATTTTACTGTTATAAATATTTAATAAGTTGTCTATGGTTCAATCATTCTTTTTTTATTGAGGCAACAATAACTGTCACATCGTTAGTGTCCAGGTATATATGAGAACTCGTTACATTGTAATATTATTTATTGTAATTACATGTAATTATCTATGAAACACGGGTCCCATGACGCGGGCCTCGTTTGTAATCATTGCCATTTCGGTTAAGTTAATAACAATGTAATATTGCTAGGATTTGTGCAGCTTAGTTTAGATGTAAGTTACGCGATTCTGAAGGTATAACTTTCACATTAGTTTTACGAAAGAGTTTTGTATTTGTATTATGTTGACTTTGTGTCGTATCTTTAATTTCGTACTCACTACACCAATCCATTTCGTTTTGATGTTCAAACAAAAACAATCACTTGTTTTTTTTTCTTGTTTTTTTTTTTCAGTGTGCAATACTTAGCATAAAGTATTTTTTATATATTAAGATGTATAATTACTGTCCTCAAATGCAATTCAAAGACATGTTCTTTATGTAGACGTGATGCTACTTTATGCTACAAGTGCACTATTTTTAGCTAGCTGCTCCTAAGACAGCTACGAAAACCAGTAACTCACTGCCCATTTATATTTATAATAAGACATTGCTATAAGCAAAATCCATTTAGTTGCAATACTTACAAACGAATATTCTCGTAAAAAAAATGTATAGGTTTAGATGTTATAAATTAAGTAATGTTAAATTAGTGTAAAGTATTTTTTAGGATTACTTTGCGACGTCGAACGTTGCAAAAAATGTATTCTCTCTCATTTTAGAAATGTTGCTTTGACAGCTATTTTAAATGGGTTTAAATTAATTGCAATATTATATATTATTGTCTTATTTTTGTGATTAAAAAAATTTTATATATCGAAGTCACCTCAAAAATTCAATACAATATTTGAGAAATACATATACCATGTTGTTCATAAAAACGTGAATCTTCATTAAACCTCTTTTAATAACTTATACTGTGTTTTGTCAATTTCTATCATATTAGGTATTTGAAAGGAAAGAAAGAGATGAAATAGATTTAACGTTTTTGTGAATAAAATGGACAATATGGGCACAAGTACTTCAGTTTTGTTATATGATATAGATAATAGTCAGAGCTCATATACTTAGGGTTTTAATTGTTATTGTTTCTAAAACAAAGTGCCACGAAGAAATTATTTTCATTCTTACAAAGAAATTTTGTCAATTTATATTTTTTTAGACGATCTAATCAGATAAGTAATATAAAGTTTGAAAGGTTCGGAAGCCTTTTGAATTTGCCATAATTATGTATATAACTAATGCGATTTGCAACTGTCATCTCGTATTGTGTAATTGGCGGATCGCGGATCAGGAAAAGGGACGAGAACACGATAGTCAAAGTATGGAGGGTAGAGATAAGGAGAACCTTTTCTGTCTATGAAAAAGTGTACGTCATAAGGGGTTAAATTAGGATGGCGCTACTGTAGCAAATGAATAAATTTTAAAGGAAGTAAGCAAAGAAAGTCATACTTCCGCTTTTCAATAAAAACAAACAATATTACTATATATAATTAATGTTACGTTAAATATCATTGTTAAACTTTTGTGTATTAAATATAAAATAAAGTTAATAAATTTCTAAACTCGCCGTACTTCACACCATGAGCGAAATTCATTTCATACTCTCTTGCTACACTAGCGCCATACTGAGGGATTTAGAACTATTATTTACAGCTTACAGCTGGAACTTGTGCTACTGTCTCAGTATGAGATAGTTCTCCTTACCTCTGCCCTCCATAAGTTTATTTATGTATTTTTATTTTTTCATTTTTATTTATTCATATTTGTATTTATTTATTTAAAAGTAACAACAACTGTTAAGCTGCGAGTTCGTGCCTATTCACCTTATTATAATGCGAATGTGTGAGTGAGATTCATAAATTATGCGGCAGGCTTTGTCACGCGTCCTTTTTTCACCGTATCCCGATTGTAATTATTATACCTAATTGGAAATATAATAAGAGATTTTATAGTAATTCAATTATTTCACATTCGCAAAAATTGCCTCTAAGTAATAATAAATTATTGTATAATCGACGGCTTAAGTGACATTCATAGTGTATAAAACTCTTTACTGAACTGATAAATTTAAGGTAGTCGATGTAAGAATATTTTTGTATTCAGTAAAGCAGTAGGTAGGTATGTATGTAGCGTTAAAGTATGGGGATGCTTGAAGGTCCGAGTAATTTTTATATTAAAAATTATAAGGATTGTAAGAATGCGTATTACGTCCAATATTTTATATTTTCACTTTTGTTTATAAATAAGTATTATAGTGATATTGTATTCTTTATTTTGTAGAATTATAGAAAGATTTTTTTTTATATATATAGAGAAGAATAAATGATTTTTTGGATTAAATACATTGTTTTCAGTAATTTCCATACCTATCTTAACTACATACTTTATTTTACATCTCAAATCCTTTAGTGGCCTGCACCACAGAGCAAATAATCACGCTTACACTACAGGTCATTAAAAAAAAAAAACAAAAAAAGAAACTAGAAAAACTTAGAATAAGTAGGTATAACAAGTTGGCTGGCTAGCGTAGCGATGGTAAACTTTATTTTTATTGGGAGAGACATTTTTATTTATTTATAATGGCACAGCCAGCCGTTATAATCATCTCTAGCATCGTGATATTAAGGGGTTTAAACAATAAAGTAAATTTTTGTTTGTTTACATTATTATCAAACTATAGTACGGAATCTTAGATTAATAAATATTCAATAGATAGATAACAATGAAATTTATCTTTCATACGGAACACTCATTGTGTAATTGAAGTATTTGCACTTGACCTAATATTTTGATTTATATCACAATTTAGGTATTACGGTATGATTAGATTAAATTTATCTAGCTTTGATTGATAATAACAGTGATTAATTTTATACCTCGTCTAATTTATATTTAAATAGGAAAAATGTTGGACAAGCGCAATTAGACGAATTCGCTGAAAGTTCCGTATGTTTAAAAGTTATAAAAAAAAAAGTAATTTTATCTGAAAATCTGCTACTGTTAATTTTTACGTCAATATTTTTACCCAACTGCTGAAGAAAAAAGAGTTAATGTTTTTTGTGTGTTAGGATTTCTAGCATATTTGTTTGTTGCCTTTTGGCTTCTTAACGGCTCGACCAATTCTCACGAAATTAGGCATATAAGTGTTACGCCAAATGGATGGAGTAAAACATTGGATTGTTACGCGAACGAAAACACTGACTAGACTATTTTTTAAACTTTTATCACATAATATTAGTAGGTTTACTTTTTTCTCTGATTGCAATCAATCGGTCTTTTTAAAAAGTTTCATTTTATTCTGAGGAATCGCTCGGATTAATACCTGCTGCTGATTTTTACCACTGTACAACCACCACAAACAAAAGTACCATCCCAACCATCTGGATGAGTGGCGGTCCTTCACCGTGCGATTTATAAGGCACTTTCTTCCATGCACAGCCATGCTTTGGAATCAACTTCCAGCAGCACCATTTCCGAACTGATACGACATCAATACAATGCAATACGACATGGGCGGCAGTAGTCATTTACCGTCAGATGAGTCACGTGCTCGTTTGTCCTCTATGTTATATATTTTTTTGCACAGCTCAACTATACTTTTTTAAATCGTCGCTGTGTAACAATTTCATTTCATACATATTTAATGCTTTCTTTAAAACATTAATAAAAATTTAAAAAAATTGTACATTATTTTTTTTAATGCATATAATGTAGACTGTTATCAACAACACAGTAACTAACCTAAAATAAAAAAAAAAAATGGTTTTTAAGAGACGAAAGTTAACACGATTATTCAGGTAAACTGATAATTTACTTGAGGCATCTCGACATTAATTCCTATCTCTTAAAATCCACAAACCAAAATAACGCGGAAATGTAAAAGTTAATAAAAATGCCTGGATACACCATCAAGTATTACAGGCGTGAGCATATTTAATTATTCATTTACCCTCCAATTAGCAAGTAAATATGTATCTTAAATTAATAAATTACTTAATAATTTACGCAAATTACACGGGGCAATTGCGATGAGGTTGGTGCCATTGTGGTTTTTTTTAATGGGTGAAAATGAATTGGTAATCCCGCCCGCGCTATTGGTATACACCGACGAGACACCAGTGGAAGATGATAGGTGAGAATGAATGCAGGTTAGTTACCACCATGATGAACTCGACAAGAATTAAACATGATGGTTTTTCAGGGGCAACCGCGTGGAGGTCAACCTGAGAGGGGGGTATATTGCCAGTAATGGGGCTATTAGACCCCATTACTAACAATCCCTTTCCCCCCTGCCATTGTGGTTAGGTAAAAGTAGGTAAGTACATAGCCGCATATAAATTATTTTTAAAAGTAGAGCCAAATTTATTATTTAATCATATTTATAAAATTAATTACACATGATAATATAATAATTATCAATGATTATATCACTGAAATGCATTACAAGGACAATATATAATGGCTGATACCTAAGTAGTTTTAGAATATTCTACAAACATGTTGAAATTTGTGACGCTCGTGTGTTTGCTTGGACTAGCGGCCGGCGGGCCTCCAGTGACTAAGTCCAGGGAGGAGATCGAAGCATTCAGGACTTTTTTAGAGACCACTAGACGAGGTTATATAATAATATATTTTTGTATTACGAGTTTATTTTTTTTTTGATGGGTGAATATGGTATGGTAACCCCGCCTGCGCTAACGGGATACGCTGACGGAGCACCAGTGAAGGGTGATAGATGAGAATGAATACAGGTCAGTTAGCCCATCATGATGAATTCATCAGGAATTAACCATGATAGTTTCCAGGGAGAACCGCGAGGAGGTCGACCTGGTTGAGTATATTGCTAACAATGGGATTCTCAGTCTCCATTACTAACAATCCCTTTCCCCCCATTACGAGTTTATTGTCACTTTTTTTTTAACTGGACGATCTTTGTATTGCAGCGGTTTAATTTTCTCCCTCAACTAAGAACGGTGTGCGTTCAATCACCGCGCAGTACAAACATTTATATAATTTTTTTTATTTATACTTTATTGTACACACTGATTGTATATAAAAATATGACAGATGTAAGTAAATGTACAAAGGCGAGCTTAATTCTAAAAGAGTTCTCTTCCAGCAAACCCAAAGTGGAAAGGAGCATCAATGTCAGCGGGTAAAGCGGTGTGCAATAATGTGATAATTAATAATATATAACAATAATGTAATAACAAAAAAAGAATCAGGCTTATGTTTGCACATAGCTAGTTATATCATTATATATTCTATTTTTTTATTTGTTAGCTCAGAATTCTGTCATCTATAAACCGATTTGAATAATTCTTTTTTATCTGAAAGCATATATTTTTAGATTGATCCCATAGAATTAATAAGAATCAATTGAATAGTTTTTAAATCGAAATAACTTGTTTTGTCACGTTTGCAGTAGGGGTTTTTTGTGGAGCAAAATTTAAAATTATTATTTTGCTTATAGATGGTCCCTCTCTCGAGGAACGCATGGCCAGTAACCCCCAAGCCAGCGCGTGGGAGAACAGCGGCAAGTACCAGGGTGATATAATCTTGGACGACGAGCAAATCAATGCTCTGGTGGAGGAATTCGCGAGTGGCAGGAATGCTTACATCTGGCCAAACACAAAATGGCCTGACGATGTAGTGGTTTGGGAGTTCGCTGAGGGTGTATTCAGTAAGTATTTGTTTTTATTTACATAATAGATAATACTTTATTAAATAAATGGTAAGGGAATGGTGACTCCGCCTACGCATTCGTCATACGCTGGCGGGGCACCAGTGAGTGATGATAGGTGAAGATGAAAACAGCCAGTTGGTCCATCGTGACGAATTGAACAAGAATTAACCACGATGGTTTCCAGAAGGAACCGCGTGCAGGTCGACCTGATAGGGTATATTGCTAGCACTGAGGCAGTTTGACCTCTTACTAACAATTCCTTTCACCCGAATACGTTAAAGACGTGAATTACTTGTACTTACGTATTTGAGTACACAATCTTATTTCTATTATTATTATTATTAATGTAAAATTTTGTGAGATTGTTTTGATGGATGTATTTTTTTTTACTTTTTTATTTAAAAAACTTTTGGACGAATTTTTATGAACTCAAATTCTATTTATAGACCAAGTCGCTGGACACTACTAGTATGAATATTGCGAAAAAAAAATTAACGAATATAAGATTACGCGTTTAAATTTAATAAAATTGTCTGGTCTTGTTTACTTTTAAGATGAACAACGTAAATGTAAAAAGCAATACGTTAGTTCTAGGCTGTAGTGAGCTCCTCCTTCTTAAAAAATATACAACAAACCTGCAATAGATTTATGTAAGTAGCAATTAAATAAATATGTAACTTAAAAAGCTTGCTGTGTATTGCTGGCATAGAATGAGCCATCCCTTCTTTTCCCACGGATATCATAAGAATCGACTAAGGGAATATAATGGTCCAGGCATGGGCAGCAGCGTCCCTATTACTCATAAATCATCACCAAAACCCAACTGCGGTTATAACCCGCCTGTCAAGCATGGCAAAATACTGACATAACTCTCCTTATGGGAGAAACCTGTTTTTTTTTCTTTTTTATTTTACAAGAATATTTCACGAAATTCTGAGGATTGTGTGACCTATTGTCGAGGGAACACACAACTTTACGTGAACACACTTCGCTCACCAAGAAACCTATGCTTAGCAGGAACAGGCAACGGCTGATGAGATGATAACGGTAATTAGAAAGAATCACTTCATTACAGATTCCGATCAAGAAAGGGCTATTATCGAAGCTATCAATGATATTGAGCGTAACTCATGCGTTCGCTTCCGTCTCAGAACACCTTCAGACCAGAACTACGTCAGGATCACCGTACGTATTTAATATTACTGTATTAGATTCCTAATCCTACTGCTATAAATGCGAAAGTTTGTGAAGCATATTTATGTTTGATACTCTATATCTATCTATGGATACCCTCAAATGGCTAAACAGAATTTAATATAATTTGGTACATAGGTAGTTTATATCCTCACTGGGTTGGAAGGATGGACCAAAATTAAGTTTAGTTTATAGGATACTTTATATTATACACGCGGGAAAAGTCACGGAAAACAACTAGTATAAATTAAGAGACACGTGTTTTAATAATTTTGGAAAACTGTCCTCAAAAGGGGAAGAAGAAGCACTACTTTTTTAAAAAAAACTACGCTAATCTGTGTTATAATGTAATCCAACTTTATAAGCGGGATTACTTTAAAAAAAAAAATTATATTAATAAAGAACTATAGATTTTTTGTGTGTTAATGATAAGTTTACTAAGTTTAGTTTTTTATAGTCTTTTGGAAATATATCCCTGCAGAATAGTTCAATTAGAGCAAAATAACAACACAACGGCTAGAAAAAGTTACAATAGCTTACAATATTTGTCCACGACTTACCAGAATAGGCAAGACGGTTGCTACGCGTCGGTCGGCTACTGGTCGACTCGCGGCGTACACACCCTGAACCTCGCCAACGGCTGCTTCCGCCACGTCGTCATCATCCACGAGTGGCTCCACGTGCTGGGCTTCCTCCACATGCAGTCCACATACAACAGAGATGACTACGTTCGCATCATGTGGGAGAACATTGAGAGTGGTTAGTGAAACAATTTTTTTATGCAACTTAGAATAGAAAATAAAAACATAGAACAGCAAACAAGTTTTTTTTTTATACCACTGAGGTGGCAAACAAGCATACGGCCCACCTGATGGTAAGTGGTTACCGTAGCCTATGAACATCTGCAATGCCAGAGGCATTACGCGTGCGTTGCCGACCCTGAAGAAACCTCTTTACCCCCCTTTTGAAAAACCCCATGTTGTAGTCTCTTGGGAAAACCTCGGCTTTTCTCAACATCATCACCATATCAGCTTTTAACTGTCCACTGCTGAACATAAGCCTCCTTTATTCACGCTCGATTAATTACGAGGTAGGTAGAGAGCCAAATATCAACTGTAGTAAAAGTAATATAGTATAATTCATTTGAATAAATTAAAATATATTTACTTAAAACTTACTCTCTAATTAACACTCGAAATGATCACGTTTCGCCAAATACCAAACACAAATACAAAATCACAGTCCACGAAATTTGAAAACTGTGTAATGAACTTCAAGTCAAGGTTTTCCTCAAAAAGAGCGTATTAAGATTTCTTCAACTGCTCATATCTATAGGTGACAGTTACCATTTACATTCAGGTGGGCCGTCAGCGTGTTTGCCAGCGCTATTGCTAACGCCTACCTACATGACAATCCTAGTATTGCAGGCGTCCATAGACTACAGTGACCGTTAACTATCAGACAAGCTATACGCTTCTTTGCTACCTTTATGGTATAAAAAAAAGTATTCAATTTTCTGTAAATAATATTTGTTTGACCATAGGCAAGGAGCACAACTTCGATAAATACGAAAGCAACTTAGTGAGCAACCACGCGCTGCCTTACGAGTATACCAGCTGTATGCACTACGGCCCGTACGGGTTTAGCGTCAACGGACAGCCAACCATCGTGCCGCTTTGGGTATGTAGCTGGAATTATAGAATAAGTTGAGGCGAATGGAGACTAAAATCCCCATTACTGAATATACAGGATATAGTGCAGAACGAATTCCGTTTGACAACCACCTTGATTAATTCATAAACTAACTCACGATGAATCAACTAAACTTTTTTTTAAAGGGTGAATATAGAATGGTGTGGCCGCTTGTGCTATCGGTATACATTGACGGGGCACCAGTGAGGGATGACAGGTGAAGATAAAAGCAGGTCAACGAATTTGACAAGAATTGATTACGTTGGTTTCCAAGGAAAATCGCGTGATGGTCAACCTGATAGAGTATATTGCTAGTAAAGGTTAGGTTTCATTACTAATAATTTCTTTATCCCCAAGAATCAACAGAGCTACATTAAACTTTGTTCGTCGTTTGGGATTTGGATTGTTAGTATCGAAGGGATTGTTAGTAATGGAGACTGAGAATCCGATTGCTAGCAATATACCTAACCAGGTCGACCTCCTCGCGGTTCTCCCTGGAAACTATCATGGTTAATTCCTGATGAATTCATCATGATGGGCTAACTGGCCTGTTTTCATTCTCATCTATCACCCTTCACTGGTGCTCCACTAGCGTATCCCGTTAGCGCAGGCGGGGTTACCGTACCATTTTCCGCATAAAAAAAAACTTCGTCGTTTTGTTCTCTACTTACTTTATCTACGACATCGTTAGTGTGACCAGGATGTGTTCACTGACCGGGATAACTATATCCTATATCCTTTCTTATCCCATATAGTACATATATATCAAATTTCATAGTAATTGTTTAAGTTGTTAAAAGGTCAAGTTCACTTTTACATTTACGAGTATAATATTAGTAAGGATTAATGCCCCGCCTCTTTACATTGCAAAAACAGGTGAATACCATTCCATGTTAATTCGATATTTAAAAAATAAAATATGTCGGTACTTTATCTTCCATTTGCTTGGAATTTAAATAGCATTACACCAAAATCTAATATGCAAATGGAATGACTAGACATTTTTTATTTGACGTGTTATTTATTTGTTATATTTTACAAAATATTTATTGGCCAATTATAAACTAATTTCGATAAAAAATTTTGAAAACGATGCCGTTTAGTTAAACATTCAACATTCGTTTTACTACAACTCCCATTATTTTGTACAAACTTATTTACGTAAATATTTTTTTCTGTAGCCTTTCGATGGTGAGATGGGTCAAACCAATGAAGTCACTGCTTTGGACTGGTTGAGGCTGAACAGGCACTACAATTGCCCCGGAGCTTGGGGGAAGGATGTGGCACCCCAAACAAATCTACAGGACATTAGCGCATAATAAATAACAACAGTGTTATTTTATCGCCCTGTTAGAGAGTGGAATCAAAATTACTACAACCGATACAAAAAGGAAATATACTGTCAGTAAATGTGAATATTTTTCCCAAAGAAACATCTGTAAAAGGTTACTGACAACAAAAATTTGAGCGTCCCTTATTAACATAGCGCGTCTGCTGTAGTATGAGGACGTTTAAATTTTTTATTGTTTCTCGATCCATACCTTTAGGAAAAATATTCAATTTAACTGGCAGAATGTCTCTTTATATTAAATAGATGCTAATGATAGACTTTGTACCTATATGGAGTGAAATGAACCTAATAATAATGAACTTTATTTCCTTAACCACGGTACAATTTAAGATGTAACATTGGTAAAAGAACATATGTGTTTAGCTAACAGTGTGATAGCAAGCAAAGTTGTTTTAAAATATTCGTCAATTAATTTTTTTTTTTTTATTTAAGAAATCATTTATATGAGCAAAACTATTTATATCCAGCCAAGTATACGTTCTCTTTTTAAATAAAGTCACATCTAACAATTTTAATCATTCAGTATTTTATTATATGAAAGTATAGGAACTTGTTACACGTATATATATGATTTAGAATACTAGTGTTTTAAAGCAATCTTAAGAATATTTGAGATTTTATTGTTAAAAATTTCATAACTATACATTATATTTTAATGTAAGATTAACTGGATTAATTTATGTTTTTAAACAGCCTCGTTCTAGGGTTACGACCGCTCACGACTAAGAGTCCTAAATGGTCCCAAAACTAGTCGAACTTTCTCGATTAAAATGTACTTAAGCGTAATAAAAAAATGTAATCCGGTTGTTCTAATATTAAAATATAATATTTGAGATGGCAATTGAAAATCTTTACAAAATTAATTAATTATTATTATTTTATATTACAACATTTTCTGGTATAGTACATAATGTTTATAAATAAAAAAAAAATATTTTTAAAATCTATTTTTTTTAAATAAATGTATATTTGTATACATATTTAATCTATCTTTCCTATTCATGTCCAATACCTACTCTAGATTACAATATACCTACCTATATTTTATCTAATCTCGTACAGGCATTATAGAAATTAAATCTTATAATCAGCTTATAATTAATCTTGACTAATAACATTTATAACTGCAAAAGTGAGTCTGTATGTTAAAATAATTAAAGTTACAAAAGAATACTTGAAAAATACTTACTACTTAATACTTTTTCCAGAGGGAGACTTTATACAAAAGTCGATTTATACCTCTGTCCCATTCGTGTTTCAACCGTGAAGCAGTTGTGTTTGCATGGCTGTGTTTCGGTTTGAAGGGTGGGATATGGCGTGAAATTTACTGGGTACAGAGAAATAACACCTGAGTCCTCAAGAATGGCAACGCATGGGGGGTATCATGGGTGAAACAGTATACTCTGTTATGTCTATAATACTGCTCATGTCTATAGGCGACGGTTACCACTTTTCATAAGGTGGGCCGTCAGCTTGTTTGCCATTCTAAGTAGTATAAAAAAAAAAATAGAAAAAAGGGCATATAGTTGCCAATATAGCCGCTTTTTTTTATTAGTAATGCACTTGACATTTAATAATGAATAATGAAAATCTCTAATAAAATACAATACGTAAAGAAGTTTAAAAAATATATAAATTAAATTCCTATTCGTTGAGGCAGATATTTAAAAGTGTATAGAAAAAAAAAACTTTATTTATTCAGTTAAGCCAGGAACTATCTACCTTCTTCTTTTTTTCTTTACGGCAATCGATCGTTATTTTTACGATTATTGCTGCCACGTCATGTATAAGAGGCTTCTACTGTATATGAAAATTATATCCAAATGACATTTGGATTAATTTGCGTAATGATAATATTACTATTAGCAACATCAAATGTAAATTAAAACGATACTTGCATGATTTTAAATACAATTTAAATAATTTGAATGTATTTAGTATTAATATAAACCTACGTGGTTTCTGAATGCTAATGTAACATAACTTCTGTAACTTTGTATTTTTATTGATAATAAAAAAAAAATATATATATATATATATAATTTTTATAATTTTGGGCTTTTTGGTATAAAATCATAAAAAGAATAATATAATTGATATTGGAGGCTTTCTGAGGCATGATTTCTCTAAATATCTTCAGAGATAGTTTATGTACTCTGAGACATGTCTTTGCGTAGTTTTCCTTACACCTTGGACATAGACTATTCGGCCTCCTCATCGAACGCACCTATACTCAATACAATGTTTCGAATCTGATGAAATACCTATTAAATATTGTTTTGTTCAGATGCTAACTTTAAAACAGACATTATAAGTATAAATAATCATAGTTAAGTATTAATTATATATACAGATAATCAAGTAGGTACACACCTAAATATTTCATAATCGGTTTAGATTTTTCAATAAGCCGATAGCGAAGTAATTAACATAATCATAACATAATCAAATACTTAATTTGTTTTAATAAACACGGATTAAAATTTATGCTTTCGTATACGTGTAGACCTAACTGGTAAAATGTGATAATGTACCCGGGTTATTATCTCGATGTTTCATCATGTTTTATATAAAACGGGAATTATAACGATTATTTAGGTAAACTATGAAAATTTACCTATGTTGTCCAACATTTCGACCAGGTTTTTTTTTGGTATACAATTTAGAATGGATAATTTTTCCATCTAACGATTTTTTTTATTTTGGTAACCTGAATAATACCATTTTAAAATTGACAGTTTATAAACATAACAAAGTATACTGTTTCGCCCATATAACCCCTGATGCGTTGCCATTGAGAACTCAGATGTTATATTATAGTTTATTACACTGTAAATTCACTAAAATCTCACCCTTCAAAACAGTAAACACAGCAATGCAAACACAAATATAGACAAAGTTTTATATAATTTTAAATGCTCGAGTAATAGAACCTACGAAACACAAATATATATTGTATCCAAGAATTGGTTTGCAAGCAATCAACTTTTATACAAAGTATCCCTCTGTTTACGACCATTTTATTTATGCAATTTTTAGAATGGCAAACAAGCCTTGTTGATGGAAATTGATAAATGTCACCTTTTATAAAATATGAACATAAATCATGATGATATAGCAAGCATTCTTTCATGTCCATCATGACGGTACCACTTTCCATCAGGTTTATCAGCTTAGTTATCTTTTATAGAACATCTAGAACAAAACTTTAGAGATACTGGCGTATTTTTACAGAACAAAATGTATTTACTTACTTGTAAATATTGAAATTAGGGGGAAAGAGATTGTTAGTAATGGGGTGTAATAATCCCATTGCTTATTGAACTTGTCACGATGGGTTGATTGACCTGCTTTTATACGCATCATCTCTCACTGATGCCCCGTCAACGTATATCGAAAGCGCAAGTAAAGTTACCATTTCATTTTCATACTTAAAAAAAGTATTGAAAATCTATATTATTTTTTTACCACTGAGGCAAACATGAATACAGCTTACCAGATGGTAAAGTAAACTGTAGCCTATGAACGCCTGTACTATCACGGACTTAACACGCGCTTTGCCAGTCTTAAACAAAATCTCTTTACTCCTTTTTTGAAGAACCCCATGCTGTAATCTCTTGGAAAGGCCTTAATTAAAAAAAAAAAAACTTTGGACTTTGATTTGCACTGCAATGTGAACAGGATTTCGCTGACCAATCTACTGTCTGGTCATTATGACATGATAAGCAATAATGCTGTATGTATTTGTCATTGTTATGTATGTATTATAGTTACCTATAAAGTTATCTAGGTATAATTAATTAATATATGTAATGACCCTGAGACTTATCTTTACATCTATACTAATATATAAAGCGGAAGAGTTTGTTTGTGTGTTTAAACGTGCTAATCTCTGGAACAACCAGTCGGATTTGAAAAATTCTTGTTGCATTTGATATCCCATTTCTTGGGAAAGATTATAGACTATTCAAGTTCATAAACATCACGAAGCCTTGGAACACGGTAAGTAAATAAATAAATATATAAAATAATCTGCCTCCTGGATCAATGTACGGTCAGAGATTTGAAAATTTATACAGTTTCCATACTCCGCACCTCGTCATCATCATCGTCAATATATCAGCTAATATCTGACCACTGCTGAATATCACAATGAGAAAACAATGGGCGAACTTATCAAGACTCTCTTCCAGGCAACCTTTGGAGGGAGAGGAATAATTATAAACAATTTGGTAGGAGGCAGGATGAAAAATTTTGTTAGTTCTAGATATGGGACTGTTTCATATAATAATAGTTTTTTATATATACATATACACATACATATACATACACACACATATATTGGTAGAAAATGGAATAGTAACCCCGCTTGCGCTAACGGGATACGCTGGCGGGGCACCAGTGAAGGGTGATCGATGAGGATGAAAACAGGCTAGTTAGCTCATCATGATGAATTCATTAGGAATAAATCATGATAGTGTCCAGGGGGAACCGCGAGGAGGTCAACCTGGTTGGGTATATTGCTAGCAATGGAATTCTCAATCTCCATTACTAACAATCCCTTTCCCCCCTCTTATGATAGTTTATAAGAGGGGATTTTGAAAGCAGTAGCCATGCTTTGGCGAATTGGTAACCGCAGTTAGGCTTTTCGTGATATTTTAAAAGAGACGCTCCTGTTTATTCCTTGACTATTAAAATCCTTTAGTGGCCTCTTACGACACCACGGGAAAGGAAGGAGTGGCCTAATTTATGCCAGGACAACAGGGCAATGTTCCATAATAGGAGGATATTTAATACCTTAAAATGTTGTTTTTTATTGCACTATTACTATATTCCCCTTATTCTAGCGATGCGCTAATTTACTAATTCGTCTACTTATTATTTGATTGAGCAATTCATTCGAATAATTCGAATGATTTTCAAATCATTCGACTACTAATTTCATTAATTTAACTACTAATTTTATTCACTATACGTTTCTATGAGTACCAATTGCTGAAATCCTTCATTAATAGTTGTTTATATACGAGTCGGTACGACCGTAGCCGAGTCGACCCGATCGTTGAAATGTTATTTTTCGCTAATGGTGAATAGTGTTGTCACTTTAGTACATTTAGTACAAATTAGCAACTTTCGATATTCATCAGTAAATTAAGCAGTAAAGCAAATTGTTAATAATTAATTACTGCTGGGATGACGAGAATAATTATTGTTAGTACAAAAAAATTTGTTGTTTTATTTATGGTCTTCTATTCATTCACATCTATTGTATTTTATAAAATTGTATATTACTAATCAACTAGTTGAAATATTAAATTAGTAATAACTAATTATTCGAATAATTAAAATAATTCGATTCTGATTCCCTTTAAGACATCCTAAGGAGGTACTATATATAATTACTATTTGTAACTCAAAATGAGTTACAAATAGTAATAATATTCTAATGTTTGTAATAATAATATTAAGCGTATATATATATATATATATATATATATATATATATATATATTATCAACTTATTAGATTTATTGGTGATCATTCATTGGTGAGTTCGTCACGAAGGGCTAACTGTCCTGACAAGAAGGATTACAATAATATTGAAAAACAATGATATCTGCAGAAGTATAAAACTGTGTCGCGAATATCAACGCCCTCCTCCTCATCGCAGGATTTCAAAACAAACCAATTAAGACGTATAGGAGTTATATCAACGAAGACAATTTTTTTGTATCTAGCAACTAACTAACTAACTACAATAATAATATTTAAAGTACTTAGAGCAAGCAATACTTACTACGCTATGAATATGGTAACTGTTGACTTCATAAAAAAACGGCGTTCACTTGCCTGGTACTTCTACGTCGTACCTACACAAGTCTACGTCAAGTTTACGTTGTGTAAACAGATAATGTTTGTACACTTGCAAATATATAAGAATGTAAGGCAGGAATGTTTGTATACAATCAAGTGGCGCAGTGTTTTTTTTTTTCAGTAAGACAGACGTAAGATTCGCTGATAATGATGCATTCCATAGGTGAAAGAATTTTTATAATCGGTTGAGTAGTTTTTGAGTTTATTCATAACAAACAAACAAACAAATCTTTCCTATTTATAATTTTAATATACAGACAGAATGATGAGATTTCATAAATATAAAAAAAAAATACTTTCATCAAGTTCCATTGATAATGTAAATCATGAAAATGCGATAGAGAATCTGTGACTTTAATACTACAGCGAAGAGAAGATACAAGGTGATGTTTTAGACAGAAGGAGTCCAGTAATACCCACTCGTTTACCCTGGGATGAGTGATCACTATGACAGATTTCCCTCCAATAAAAGAGCCCCAATAAATTCAAAACAAATCAGTAATTTCGATTTAAACGTCATAATCGAGATTAGAAAATTAAATCGATAACAATTATCTGGCAGCGATATGATAAACAATTGATATAAATATGTATGTCGCGTATCACGTATCAGCTGTCATTATGTACAAGTTGGCCATTCTTGTTTGTTCGCTCGGGCTGGCGGCAGCCACGCCGTCGGTAGTGAGGAGTCGAGAGGAGATTCAGGCGTTTAGATCCTTCTTGGAAAGCACCAAGATTAGTAAGTTCAATGAACTATTTACTTGCATTAACGTGATAATTTTTTTTATATCCCTTCATACCGTATATGAAGTACACGAGAAATCGACGACGGCATATAATGGAACAAAGCAATATATTAAAAAATAAGTAATATAGTGCATAAAGTATGAGATTATGTGATGTTTATGTGTACATATTTTCTTGGCATATCACTAAATATTACAATACATAGAAATTATTATTAATAATGCCATAACATACCATAATAATCCTCATATACACAATTTTGAGGACTGGTTTTGCCTAATAATTAGAGCATATAAGACGCTATCCGAGTTTATGTTTTTTTTTTTATAGTAATATATGATGTTTTGTTCCGCCTCCATCCTGGACATGAAAAGAAGTAAAATATTGCGTCTTTACTTCTTTATGACACGAAGATAACAAATTTATTTTAATACTTCTATAAAAATACTGCATAAATGCTAAAACTAGCTGATACAGAGAGTGGAGATGAAAAAACAGGAAAGCTGACTGTAATCTTAGAAGCTTGTCAAAAACTATCTTTTCAGACTAAGTCTGAAATACTAGGATATAATATTAAAGAAAAACTAATAATACAGATATATCAAATGTATACTTTAACCGTTGAGCATTTTTGTTGACTTTTGCTTGACGAACCTGATCTAGGAATAAAATAATATTATTTATAAAAGAGTATTTTTGTATACAATACCGAAAAAAAATGTCATCATGATGAATATATAATTTAATACTAACGCACATGTTTTCTCCTTTATTTCGTCATTTCTAAGACTGTTCTTTATACGGTTATATATATTAACAGATTTCAATATTATTTATATTGATTTTATTATATTGATTAATTTTTGTTTAATTCTAGTGATAATGGAAAAATGCATATTTTTTTTGAGACCACTCGCTTTTCATCTATAAAAAGTTTATACTTTATATGCCAGCCCTCTTCTTAGTACCAAATACAGACTCACTGTTAGGATTATATGTAAAATTTACAACAGTGTGTGTCTACATTTTTTAGATCAATATTTACATTGTAATTCCAGCTACTGACGATGGAGAGCTATTCCTTGCTCGCTCCAAGGCGAACCCGCTGGCCAACCCTGAGGAAAACAGCGGCAAATACGAGGGTGATATCATCTTGGATGACTTCATCATGGAGAACATGATCCAGGAGTACGCGTTGGGTCGCAACGCGTACACTTGGCCCAACACTAAGTGGCCTGAAAACACTGTTGTTTGGGAATTTGGAGCGGGCGAGTTCGGTGAGTATTTTTTTATTGTTATTTTAAAAGGCTCTCAGGAATGTTTTCCACGTTAAGGGTACTATGGACATGAGAATTACTGACACCACGGAGTATCACGCCTAGGAAACTATTACCCATGTGGTAACTGCGATCACGAAATTATTTAAAATGGGTTGCAATAAGAATTATTTTAAGTTGGAACGCATGTGTGTTTGTGACAATGTTTCCAGCTTTCATATTTAAGCCATTTATTCCATATTTATTTATCATTTATTTATGATCCAGGGATATATTTGATATTCTTTATCCATGAATGGATTCACCAACCGTACTATCTTCTAGAACCTTGTAACCTATAAGTTATTCAGATTATGCAATATAACAAAAAGTTGATTTAATTAAAAGATAAACTGATCATTAACGACTTATCAAATAACTTATGCCCCATCAAATACATAAATCTGAATTACGAAGATAACAAATGTAATGAACATGTATTAAAATTTAATTCCTTTTATTTATCAGTGATTGATTTTAATTTGAACATTGATAGCAATGAATAATTGATGAATAGTAATGTACGTCCATATTTGTGTATCTTATGCAATAATATTACTAATTCTGAACTGATTGCCGCAATTATGCTTTGTAATCAATAAAACATATTTATTAATTTACTCTTTAATGTAATTTAAAACAAAATTATGCAACATTTATAAAAATGATAACGTCGATTGCTTGGGTACCTCTGTCCCATTCGTGTTTTAACCGTGAAGCAGCTGTGTTTGTATGGTTGTGTTTCGGTTTGAAGGGTGGGATATGGCGTGAATTTGGATCTGGGTACAGAGGAATAACACCTGAGTCCTCGGGAATGGCAACGCATAGGGGATATCATGGGTGAAACAGTATACTCTGTTATGTCCATGGTACTGCTCATGTCTATAGGCGACGGTTATCATTTTCTATCAGGTGGGACGTCAGCTTGTTTCCCATTCTAAGTTGTATAAAAAAAAAAACTTAATACAAGTGTACTCCTTTGTTAGTTGACTTCTTTTACGGAGTTAAATCTAAAGATGAATTTGGTACAAAACTATACAAAATATTAAATTAAAGAGATTAAGATGCAAATATTGTAAAGTTCTACTATAAATAATTAATTACAATATCAAAAGCAAATAATAGGTACAAGCATACTTTTTAAAAAAATTACAATATCAAGCGTTGTCACTTATGAACTAACAAATTAATAATAAATCATGGTAATTTCTTATCGATAGTTAGTAGCAGTGCGAACGACGGTAAACTGTGGCAGAAGCATCAAGTCTTTAAACAATTTTTCAGATTCCGTTGTTATATAAAAATAAATAGTATGACGATTAAATTTAATCAAATATATAAGGCAACATTTAATCAAAGATATAAAAAAATATGTATATACATTCACATACAATATTTTAAAATAAAAATGGAGTTATCAAATTAACTGCATTCCTTTCAGTGAGGCATAGTGTTAAACATATACGATAGTGATAAAATGCTGTGGCCTTCGTGTACCATGTTTTCAACCAGTGTAAATAAAATTCAAAAATTCTAAATAAACACGTTAAACTACATGTTTACATACATTGCATTGTCCGTTTCTGATAATGAAATGGTTATGTAGCACTTTTTTTATTTAATAACGATTAATATTTAGGACCCCAGCAGCAAGCCGCCATCTTGGAAGGTATCAGGGACATCGAGGAGAAAACTTGCGTCCGATTCCGCTACAGGCAACCCGGTGATACAGTGTATGTGAGAGTTACTGTAAGTATTTAACACTATTTGCCTTTTTTTTTTTTCAAAATAATTTGATATGATTATTTTTTCATTTCACTTGATGTTATTATTATTATATAGTTAAGCTTTGATGATGTTTTAAGAGGGACACTACTGTCCATTCTTCGACTTTTGAGCTCTATTAGTTGCCTCTTACGACACTTAGGAGAAAAGACGGGGTGGCCCATTCTATGCCGGGATTACACGGCGTTTACTTGATAGCGAAGTAACATTTACATTCATACTCTTATCGGAGGGAGACTTTGTATTACAGTCATTTGCATGAGTATCTCTGTCCCATCTGTGTTTCTGCCGTGAAGTAGATATTCGGTTTGAAAGCTGAGATAAGGCAATGAAATTACAAGGTACGGAAGGAAAAAAAAATTGTAATAAAAAAAAAAAAGATAGTTCACAGGAATAGCAACTTATGAGGGGTGGTATTACGAGCATCACGTTGTATTTTGTGATGGCATGGTGCTGTGTAAGTCTATAGGCAACGGTGACCATCTATACATACATTTATTTATTTTTATTTATGCCATTCATAACTGTCGCAAACGAAACTGTTCGAATAACAGGGAAATGTTTTTTAATGGATAATAATGGAATGAACCCCGCCTGCGTTATCGGTATACGCTGACGGGACACCAGTGAGGAATGATAAGTGATGATTAAGCAGGTCAGTTGAACTTATCACGATAAGCCGTAACGAATTCAACAATGAATCAATCATGATGGTTTCCAGGGAAACCGTGTGGAAGACGACCTGATAGGGTAGCAATAGAATTGCTAATCTCCATTACTAACAATCCTTTCTCCCCCTAACAAGGAGATGTGGGAGGACGTGATTATTTGTAATGGGTAGGTTAGTTCCCATTATATATCCTAACAGGTCGACCTCCACGCGGTTCTCCCTGGAGACTATCGTAACTAATTTATCGTTGAATTCGTCACGATGGGCTAACTGACCTGCCTTTTCATTTTCACCTATCACCTCTCACTGGTACCCCGCTAGTGTATACTGATAGCACAGGCGGGGTTGAAAAAACAGGGAGATGTAGATTCGAATCCATCCAGCTGAGTTCTCGGAAAATTATTTTTTTAATTTAATAATAATATAGATTTTCCAAATACAGGCTTAGGCATAAAAATATTTCCAAATATGTTTTAAGTTTTTCCAATTTTTGTAACATAATCGTGTAACAGGGTGGTTCTGGTGGATGCTACGCCCACGTCGGCTACTGGGAGTCGCGCGGTGTCCACACCATGAACCTCGCCCGCAACACCCCAGGCGTCGGCTGCTTCCGTCACGCCACCATTGTCCACGAGTGGATGCACATTATTGGCTTTCTGCATATGCAGTCCACCTACAACCGTGATGACTACGTGAGGATCGTTCAGGAGAATATCTCACCTGGTTAGTGTTATCCTGTTTTTCATTTAGATTTTTTAACCGACTTCTGAAAAAAGAGGTGCTTCTCAATTCGGTGTTTTTTACGTTTGTTACCACAGAATTCCACTATTTATAAACCGATTTGGAAAAGTTTTTTTTTTTTATTTCAAAGGATATATTTTTAGATTGGCTCCATATAAATTTCGTTAAAATCAATTCCGTAGTTTAGTTTTTAAATCATAATAACAGACCTTGCCACGATTGACGGCGGTGTTTCTTCTCAACACACAACTTTCTGAAACTACATCGGAATCATATAAAAATGTATATTTTTTAAAGTTTACCTATTAAATGAAAATTTATTGTGACTTTGACTTTATATTACATGATAGTTTCAAGTTCTGTAACTCTGTATTTTAGTGATAATAAATAATAAAAAAAAAAAAATATGAGTATTTTCGAATTAAACTATTGTCCATTGTTATTCAGAATTCTGTCACATTTAAAGTCGAATGAGGAAAATAATGTTTTAAGAGGGACGCCGCTGCCCATCCCTCGACCATTATGTTTTTTTACTCGCCTCTTACGACACCCGCTGGAAAAGAAGTGGCCTTTATAACAATGGATAAAAAGCAACGATGATAATAATTGTAAACGATGATGACAACTGTAAAAAAATCATTTATATAAATGTAATATTATGAAGAAAAAAGCCAGGAAATCAATATCCGGGATCGATTAAAAAAAAAAAACGATGATATTAAATTATGATTGACATTCCAACAGGCACTGAAAACAACTTTGCTATCTACACCTCTGATCTGGTATCCAACCTGAACGTTGAATACGACTACGTGAGCTGCCTTCACTACGGACCGTACGCTTTCAGCAACAACGGCCAGCCCACTATTGTCGCCCTGCAGGTAAACTATTTGCCTACCACGAAATAAATGATTTGAGTCGTTCGAACACTATACACTCGGGGTATATGGTGACATGGCATATTTTCTAGAATTTTAAGTGTACTAAAAGAGTATATATTTGTATTGTGTGTGTTGTGTTTGCATGGCTATGTTTCAGTTTGAAGGGTGGGATATGGCGTGAATTTACAGGGTACAGAGGAATAACATCTGAGTCCTCAGGAAAGGCAACGCATGGGGGGGGGGTATCATGGGCGAAACAGTATACTCTGTTATGTCCATGGTACTGCTCATGTCTATAGGCGATGGTTCCACTTTCCATCAGGTGGGCCGTCAGCTTGTTTGCCATTCTAAGTTGTTTAAAAAAAACAAAATTACACTTCAACAAGGGGTTTTTTAAATGGATGACAATAAAATTATGATCTTGCTTATACTATTGGTATACATCGCGGAGAAGCAGTGAGGAATAATGAGGATGACAGTAGGTCAGTTAGCCCATCATGATGATTACACCAGAAATTTAACACGATGGTTTCCAGGTGAAGGTCAACTTGACAGGGTATATGACTAGCAATGTGGCTCAACAAACCCTCCTACCCCTTCCTATTTTCATTCATACTTTTTTTATTGGGTGATAATGGAATGGTAATCCCACCCGCACTATCGGTATACACCGGCGGGGCATCAGTGAAGGATGACAGGTGAGGATGAAGCAGGTCACTTAGCCCATCGTGACGAATTCAACAAGAATTGTTCACAATGGTTTCCAGGTGGAACCACCTGGATGTCGACCTGATAGGGCATATTGCAAGCAACGGGCCTGTCAAACTCCATTGCTAAGAATCAATTTCTCCCCCCTCAAGCAACTAGTAAGATAAATACCTTTGCATACAAGTTTCACCTTTAATTTGTGTTTTGTTATTTTTTTAGGAGCATGAAGGCCAAATGGGACAACGCGTGTACATCACAGAAAGGGACTGGCTGCGAATCAACAGGCACTACAATTGCGCAGGCGCATGGGATTAAACATAAATTAATAATTTATTACAAGCATGTAGAAATTTATTATTTATTTTTTAAGCATCAAATAAAATTTGACTGATATATAATTATTTTTTTGTAAAATTTCTTTTCATTTACAATTAACCATTTACTTACTCTCGTTTTAGTCATTTTATATATTTTTTTTACCCAATCTTCTATTTTTTTTTGTCCGAACGCTCTCTACCTTCTTAAAATAATGATAATGGGTTTGATTTCACTCTGTATTAAGATACTCTTATGAAAGTAACTTACAACAACATTCAATAACGATTTTTTTTGGTATAATTTGTCAAAAGAACCGCTATTTAACTTTCTGCCGTAGTCAGACCAAAAGCACCGCAATAAAATATTATTTACAAAATACACAAGCTATTTTTTCGTGTACTCCCCAAGGAGTCGACTGCGCGACCTCCATGTTGTTGAACACGTGACGCTGCGCCTGCGCACCCCAGCTTTGATCTCGGCGAATCATGCGCGCTCTCAGCTGTCACCGTAAATATTGTCAGGACAAATTTCGACTCTTTGAAATTACTCGACTTAAATGCTGCATTGATCAGATTTATTATGTTTAACTTGTTGGAATGAATGAAGGTTTGTCGCGGCAATAAAGTTGCTGTTTTGATAGGTTAGGAACACTTGCGCCGACTGTGATCGCGTTGTTTTTGTTTATGAATAACGTTGAGATTGCTGTGTGATGACGATACTTAAACAACTTCGATCGTTAACATTTACATTCTAGATAGAACGTCTCTTTAGAAATGCATCATTAAAATGGCCAAAATCTTTCTACAACGTATGAAGAATTTTGCTCTTGCTACTTTTTATCATACGACTACAGCATGGGGTTCTTAAAAAATAACGAATTATAGTTTTTTTAAAGGATTGGCATCGCACGCGTGATTCCCTCTGAACGTGAACGTCTGTATGCTACGGTAACCCCGTTTACCATCAGACGGCCCGTATGCTTGTTTGCCACCATAGTATAATAGAAAAAATAGAAACCGTCATTTTATTTATTTATAATTATTATATTATGAATATTGTATACTATATTCATAATTCTTTCAGATTTGAATAGGTATAATATGAAAAAACGATGCCTCACGCCAACAGTTATATTACCATTAATTTATATTTGACACACCATCTAAATACAGTATAATCTATGTTGTTATTAATAATTTAGTATTTATAGTTCGTAAATAATAGAAAAAAAAAATATAATATAAAAAACCCTTGAAGTATTTGTAACCCGCCACATACATCCATTAGTGGCTGTGGAAGGACCGAATGCAATAGGAAATTTAAGATTATGGGTATATAAATGGATAGTCTAGTATATAGTACTCAGGAATAGCAACGCATGCGGGGCATCATGGGCGAAACGGTTTTTTTTTAATGGGTGAAAATAGATTGGTAACCCCGTCCGCGCTATCGGTATACACCGACGAGTGGAAGATGATAGGTGAGAATGAGTGCAGGTTAGTTGGTCCACCATGATGAATTCGACAAGAATTAAACATGATGGTTTCCAGGGGGAACCACGTGGAGGTCAACCTGAGAGGGTATATTGCTAGTAATGGGGCTATTAGACCCCATTACTAACAATCCCTTTCCCCCCCGGACGAAACAGTTAGTTAGTCTGTTATGTCCATGGTACTACTCATGTCTATAGGCAACGGTTACCACTTTCCATCAGGTGGGCCGTCAGCTTGTTTTCCATTCTAAGTTGTATATATATATATATATGTATATCTAACACAGTGAATCATTATCAATATCAGTCGTTAATTGCCCAATACTGAACTGTGAAGGCCTATTCACCATAGGTTTTTAGTTGTCACGCTTGGCAGGCAGATTGGCAACCACAGTTAGATTTTGGTGATGTTTAAGGAGGGACGCTGCTGCCCATCTGTTATACAACACTAACTTAACTGTTACACAGTAAACAGTGTAACTTAGTTTCAACAATGTATTTTATAATGATCATAATATTTATTCATTATATTAATATTATAAATGCGAAAGTCTATTAGGATAGATGGATATTTGTTACTCTTTCACGCAAAAACTACTAAACGAATTTGAATGAAATTTGGCACATGGATAGGTTATATCCTAACTTACCACATATTATATTTTATGTACTGATTCACGCGGGCAAAGCTACGGGATATAGCTAGTAAAAGCATAAATAATTTTAAATTAAGCAAAAAACATACTTAAGTTGACATATTAATTTATTTCCCCACATTAGCAAAAATGGCAACAAATAATATTTAATAGAACTTTTACACTAAGCGTATTCTACAACGACCTAACATTTGAATTGAATTCTTTAATTGTATTTAGTTACAAAGGCTTTCTTTCATTGCAAATTGAAAAGACATTACTGTTAGGGAAGCTATGTAACCCAATACTGCAAGTTAGGCATATTTCCGCGAAGCTTCGTAAATAGCCGACCACCCTGCGTATGCGCAGTGCCGGCGGGTGTCGGTTACATGCGCCCGCGCAGACACTACGCCTGTCAACATGTATGTCAGTAGACCGTGGCCATGTCATCTCAACTAATACAGCTACTGTCGCTTTAGATCAAATAGGTCAGGGGATGAAGAGACAATAAACGTACTGTCATATTATATTTTTTGCATTTAATATAGTTTGGACGCCATTAGCTTTAATATAATTAGTTTATTATAATAAATCGAGTTTATTATAATTTGCTATACTTAATGAAAAATCAAAATTTAAAACCACATGTCATCATCGGTATCATCTTGTTTTAGAGAAATACTTTATTTTACACAGCCCAATAAATCTCTATGAGTATATTCAAGTGTAAAGAAACCATAACATTGAACGATTGAATGAAAACTCTTTATTGTTCCTTTCAATGAATGATACAGTTTATAAAGATTAACAATACGTATACAAACTAAAAGAGTACTTAATTATATAAACTTAATTACATAAAAGCAAGGTAGAGAGGTAACAATGAGTGGCCTTATCGCTACATAGCGATCTCTTCAAAGCAACCTAAAGTGATGTGATTTATTCAGCAAATGATTTTTATTTATATAGATGTTATGGGGCAGGGTTTTAACACAGTTGGTGTTTTTGAAATGACTAGACTCGTAGAGTATCTGAATTGAACTGTATTTATTATTACAAATCGTCCATATATATAGTAGAGATATCTTAATTACTATTTACAATTACAATAGTCAAATACTTCCATTGATAGAGTGACAACAAATACAGATAATAACTTACTAATGGAAACTTCGATGAGATAGACAAATATACAAATATGAATATTAAACAATATAATGATTTCGATATCAAATGGACAAATACAAATATACAAATAGGAATGTCAAATATTATAATGATTAGGTCGTAGGCTGACACATGGTCTTAGGTCACGTACTCTTAATATATGTAACACCTCCCCCCTTAGAATAAAGATTGGGCTTGAGAGCTTAATCTTTGAACTCTCGGTGTTGAAGTTCTTGGATAATTTTCTTCATTTTCCTCTTCGTCTTCCGTTACGCAGGTACTTGTTGCTATAGTAGTCATCGGGACGGCAACTTGGATTCTCTGACGTCGTGATGTGTTTGAAAAACAGTTGTTAAATATTTGTATACAACTATTATCACGGCTTGGTCTTCGGTTACGCAGGAGTAATCCATTAGGACAACGTTTGCTAATTTTATAAATGAAGTATCCTAGCATTGTTATGAATAACACGAAGTATATCCATGTAAACGTTGACGAATATCTTTGTAAGATTGGTCGAGATCTCATATTTTCTAAGCTTTCCTTAAATTTATCGACATGATGTTTTATTTGTTTCAGTGAATCCAAAGGCATTTCATTAATTTTAATAGGAATTAACTTTGGAGCTTCAAAGTTCTTGTATTCTTCAAAGCAATCGTCTGTTCTAATGTCTGGAACTATTACAGGATATGTTACATTTTCTTCAATAGATTGAAAGGCTGTTAGCGTACTATACCCAGTATAAAGTTTGCAGTTTTCCGGTAAGGATAAAATGCCTGCTCCTTGTAATTTATGATGTGTAACTTCCGTTTTACATTGAAGTATACAATTAGTGTCTTCTGTAAGTATGTAAAGCCATTGGTTGTTGTCAATGTTTTGAAAAGTGTTAATTCTTGCTTCAAATGTGGATGTTGTACAAATTTCAGGTAAAGTTTTTGAAATGCTTAACAGGATCTGGAGCTCACATAATGGACGTGATGCTGCTTCATATGCGACAAAAGAGGTGCAGATCTTCTTCTTTATAGCGTAGGACTTGCATGAAGTGAGGTCGCTCGTAGATACGTATATATTACCGCTAGGATTTGTAGCCAAATGCATGTGCTCAGGTAGGATGGTTGTATGCAGAGAGGAATTAAAATGTTGGATTGGAATGGAATATATGTGATAGAGATTGAGAGGTTCGCCTTGAATTAATGGAAAATCTAATATGTATACAAGCCTATCAGAATATACATAAGCAGAAAGAGAAGATAAGTTTAATATTTGATTTTACGAACAATATGCTTGCTAAACAATCATTAATTTCATTTTCTAGATTTATTACGGATTCTACTATCTGCAAAGAAATTACGGAAATGTCTACACTAGCCTAATCTAAAGATTTAAAATAAAGAACCTTTTAACTTGAATGTAAGTCATCGTTGAGACTGAATATTTTCATTAATTATTCGATCATCATAAGTTATCTTAAATATACTTTCATTGAAGTTTTTAGTTGTTGAAGAAATAATTAAGATTTGTTCGAGCATCAAGAAAGAAGATTCTATTACAAGTTTTTTTCTAATTTATTAAGGTAATATCGAATTGAACAAACATAAGAACTATTATTTATAAATTTATGTTTTAATTATGTTTTATTTTTTATTAGAAATAAAGACGATTTTAGGACGATTCGTAAGCTAACGAATATAACAAAAATGATATTTTGTATAATGATTAAAATTGATTGATTATTGAAGAATTATTGATTTAATTGATTATTGAAGAATTATTGATTTAATTGATTATTGAAGAATTATTGC